TTGGCCTCCCAAAGTGCTGGGATTACAGGTGTGAGCCACCACGCCCAGGCATTTTAAATGTTACGTTGCTGAGTGTCTGGATTTAGTTGTCTTCATGTAAAAATTATTGAATTTTGTTTTTGTGGATACTTAAATTTCATAAGAATCAACTTCATCCTTGTTAGGGTGGCTCTAAGATAGTCTTTACTCTAGGGTTAATTTCATCCTACTGGTAAATCATGACCTCTTGTTTCTCTACCGAATTACCTGGGCGTTCAATGAGGTTGCTCCTCTGTTGTTGGACTTTGAAGATTTCCCAGAGCTGGGTGAACCCTGGGTTAGCTTAAAAATCCCCCATAGTTTTTCTTTCTCCACTAGTTGTTCATTGTCTAGCCTCATGTAGTATTACCCTATGCATTAACAGCTTAGTATTCAACCAAAGATTCAAGGGGACTCTATGTAGATTTCTGGAGCTTTTTCTCTGTGTTGCTCTCTTTTCTGATACTGTGCCCTGAAAATTCTGTTTGCCTCAGCCTCTCCATATTCCAATCTTGTTATCCTCAGCTCAGTAAGGTTGCCATGTCTATTTGGGTTCCCCTTCCTGACCCTACTTTCTGGAGTCTCCAGGGAGAAAGCTGGGCCATCATAGAACCTGCCTCATTTTTCTCTCTTCTTTCAGGGATCACAGTCCTAAGCTGTCTGTTATCCAGTATCTGAAAGCACTTATTTTATATATTTTTCTGGTTTTATAGTTATTAATGTGGGAAAGGCAAGCCTAGTTCAGCTACTCCATCATGGCCAGAAGTGAAGTTTTCCTGGTCCCTTTCATCAATTTTCTTCTTCTTCTTTTTTTTTTTTTTTTTTTGACAGAATCTTGCTCTGTCGCCGGGCTGGAGTGAAGTGACGTGATCTCGGCTCATTGCAGCCTCTACCTCCCGGGTTCATGCGATTCTCCTGCCTCACCTCCCGAGTAGCTGGGATGACAGGTGCATGCCACCACGCCCAGCTAATTTTTTATATTTTTAGTAGAGATGGAGTTTCACCGTGTTGGCCAGGTAGGTCTCGTTCTCTTGACCTTGTGATCCATCTGCCTCAGCCTCCCAAAGTGCTGGGATTACAGGCGTGAGCCACTGCGCCCAGCCAGTTTTGTTTTTAATTGAGGTAAAATTCACTATTTTTACAGTGTACCCCTCAATTATTTTGTAAATCAGGTTTTAGGATGTTCCAAATTCTTCCAAGTTATTTTTCCAGATGCTTATATCTAATCAAATAAAATATTTTAAAAGATTTGGAGTGAGAAACTTGCCCTATCCAAGACTTGAATTAGTAAAATAGAGCATCAGTATCCTCTTTCCCAAAGATAATTTAATTTACTTGAGTGAATTCAGATTGGTTTCTCTTAATATGTTAAAAACACAAAATTCTATATATGATAGGTTATGTTATAAATTGTATTTTAAGCTGATAAACTACAGTTGGTATATTTTGTGGATGAAAATAAACACACAGAAGAGCAATAGAAAGTAAAAAGAAAGGGACATGATTAAGAGTCATCTCAAAGTATGCTGTTTGAATAGGCTTCTAAAAATCATGCTTGGCCAGGCGCAGTGGCTCATGCTTGTAATCTCAGCACTTTGGGAGGCTGAGGCAGCTGGATCCCCTGAGGTCAGGAGTTCGAGACCAGCCTGGCCAACATGGTGAAACCCCGTCTCTACTAAAAATATAAAAAACCAGCTGGGTGCGGCGATGGGCACCTGTAATCCCAGCTACTCAGGAGGCTGAGGCAGGAGAATTGTTTGAACCCGGGAGGCAGAGGTTGCAGTGAGCCGAGGTTGCACCATTGCACTCCAGCCTGGGCAACAAGAGCAAAACTTCATCTCATAAAAGAAAAAAATCATGCGTGAGTTTTTATGTTTATACTTCTGTTGTTCAGGTGAGGAACTGAATGACCGCTGTTGTTTCTTTTGTTGAAATTGCCCGTTGTGGTTGTGTGTGTTCTGCCTTCTCTTTTTGTGAGTCCCACCTGACTTCAGTAGTTTTTAATAGCTGGAAAAGTCTCTGACTCATTTTGTGCTATTAAAAGAAAAGACAAAATGATTCTTAAAATTGTTGAAACTGTTAGATTTTCTCAACCTCTGTTTCTGTTAGAACTGTTAAAGCAAACTTGAGAAGCAGTCTCTAGGACAAGTATGCAAATAAGTTGGCTTTCGGAAGTTTTCAAAAGACAAATCTTGGGTGAGATCTAGGATTTGAAAGTTGGGCCAGCACTTAGGAGTTAGGATGTCCACCAGTAATGGAGGTTAAGGCAAGAAACTGGGAAGATGAGGAATGGGATGATTAAGATCTCGCAGGCTAGGAGAGCCATGGGAGAGGAGGCACTGAGGAGCAAGGTGGCTCAGAATATAATTAGGTTAAAGGGACAGATGTGAGGTTTCTGTAAGAAAACAGCTGAGGTGAGCAATTCGTATTTTTGGATGGGACAAAATCACAACCTGTATGTGAGAATAGGCAAGCCACATTATAAAGTGTGTAAGTTAATTTGACAAAAATTGGAACTGTTAAATCAGCTCTAAGACAGGTTCTCTGTGTTATCAGTACAGTCATAGATCTAGTTAAAATTCATTAAAGTGTTTTCATTTTTGAAATAGTTCATTTTTTGAAAGCTATAATGTATTAAAGCATACATTTAGAAGAAAGTAAATACCTACCTATTTTATGAGAGTCTTACCTGCTGTGCTACTCTGTTCAACTGAAACACCATCAGTATACATCATTTATATTTGTGTGTGAATTCTATAGGTTTAGCCATGTTGCCAGTCATTTGACTTTTACCTTTTTTTTTTTTCTTTTTATGAGTTGGGGTCTTGCTCCGTCACCCAGGCTAGATCACAATGCTGTGATCATAACTCACTGCAGCTTCCAATATCTGGGCTTAAGCAGTCCTCCTGCCTCACCCTCCCAACCTGTAGCTAGGACTGCAGGTACATGCCATCATGCACAGCTAATTTTATTTATTGATTGATTTAGTAGAGATGAAGTCTCACTGTATTGCCCAGGCTGGTCACAAACTCCTGGCCTCAAGTGATGCTCCTGCCTCAACATCCCAAAGTCCTGATATGACAAGTGTGAGCGACCACACCCAGCCATGTTGCCAGTAATTTTCAAGTTAAAAATTTTTTTTAGCCCTGACAATTTTCATCTTTTTTTTCCCCTCAATTTGAGCCATTCACACTTAAGACACATTAACCAGAGAAGAATAAAGGGTTAACAAGGACCACCAAAAACCTCTAGAAGCTTCTCCGGAGCCAGAGGAAAAAAGTCCTATCTTGTCTATAGTGAAGAAAACTTGAGTCTCAAAGACACCCTAAAATCCTAGGAATTCCCTATAAATATCGGAAGCAAGAAAAGAATTTTCAGTTTTAATAATCAACAGTAGTAGATTAGATCTTTAAATTGTATGCATTCGTTTTTTATCAAGAGTTCTGTGGAACGGTTGTGGTGTTTTGGGCTTTGGGTATAGTTATTATTTTTTCATCCACATGAGGTTAATTTCTTAAAGTTGTTTGGAAGTTGTTTGTTTGGTTTTTTGTTTTTTTGTTTTTTTTTTTTGCATCAGACTGTCACCAAAGTTTATTTACTGGCAAAGCTGGTTTTCCCACAGATTTGTAGGTAGGAATGGTTTAAATGAAAGTTGATGGAAGTCTTAGTTAGCAGTTGCTCTGCCAAGAATAACATTTTTGTGTGCTTTCTGTGACAGTTTTGGTCAGCTGTACTGACAGAGCTGGGCTAAGATATTTTCCTGCCTGTTAATCAAGGCCACACAGACAAAGCTCAAGGAAGGATGATCCCTGCCTCAGGAAGTTTTGAATCAACTGCTATTTTTAAGAAGTATACAGTAGAACTTGAGATCAGGTCTTTACTCAGTTGGTAAGAAAAGTTTTCCACTGAAGCTTCCATATGAGGAAATGGTTTATGGGCCTGAATGAAGCCTCTGTGTGAAAGGAAGGAATGTGACAGTGGCTGTAAGTATTTGTGTTGATTTGGGTCAAGGGTGTGGTAGCATAGATGTAGGAAGTCCAGTCATCAAAATAGGTTATTACATTTTAAAGCAACTGATAGTTTATGGGCACTTTGAGTTGTCTTTAGTGTATATGGAATCCTGTGCTGCTAATAGTAAAGTTGAAATAGGCTATATGATGGGCTGATATTATTAATCAACGTAGGACAGGAGGAGGAAGTTGGCTATTGGTGTGTTTCCATGCTAACTGGCTCTTGCTGTGGACATACATAAATTTTGGGGGGTTTTTGAGATGTAATTCTGTGTGTATATATACTCCTTATGATACTCCATTGCTCCTTGTTTCATTAAGAGAAGGTTTCATAAAGAATTAATGTATGCCTAGGTGCAGTGCCTCATGCCTGTGATCCCAGCACTTTGGGAGGTCAAGGGGGTAGATTGCTTGAACTCAGGAAGTTCAAAACTAGCCTGGGCAATATGGAGAAACTCCGTCTATACAAAAAATACAAAAACTTAGTCAGGTGTGGTGTCACGTAACTGTAGTCACAGCTACTCAGTAGGCAGAGGTGGAAGAATCACTTGAACCCAGGAGGCAGAGGTTGCAGTGAGCCAAGATCACCATCACTGCACTCCAGCCTGGGTGACAGAGCAAGACTCTGTCTCAAAAGAAAAAAAAAAAGAATTAATTTATTACAAAATAATATTGTATACTACTATGTATAATTTTTTCTAAAACCTCATTCTACCTAACTTTAGGAAATTAAATATGGCAGAACATTAAAGCTGACAATTTGAAAAATACCACAAATAATGTTTTGTTAGTATTATTATCTCACCATCTTAGGAGTGCCTTTATGTAGTTGAATCACTTAATAGATGACAGGTATGTTTTTACATGTGCAATGTATATGAATTATGTAGGGATAGGTGGGCAGTGTTTCAGTGGAGTTTTAAATTAGGAAATTATAAAATGTGTTAACGTATTTTTGTGTCATTTTCACAGGATTATTCAAGATCAGGTTGTAGCCATTTTCAACAAGGATCACTGATCAAAATTGTTCTTTTTACAAAGAGATTTACAAGTTAAACATGAAGGGAAAATACTGGAATCATTTGGATTCTGACAGGATAAAAAATACAATATTTCACATTTACTTGTAATGGAACCTTTGTAAGATTAATCACTTGTCATTCACCCAGTTGGGAACATGGATGTTGGTTTTTCTCGTACTGCTGTTCAGACACTGTCAAGAAGCCACTGCAAAAATATCAAACAAAAAATTTCTCAATGGGAAGGAAGGGCTAATATATCTAATCCAGAAAAGTGGCGTCCAAAGGACTTTGGAGTGAGATATAACTGTCACCAAGCGATCCTTCCTAAGAAAAATCCTATAGCTGAGAGAAAGAGCAAAAACTTGGATGTAACCAGCTGTGAGAATGTAGGTCTAGATATAAATGAAGATACCAAAAGCCGTGATCAAAGTGAGAATGAAAATAAGAAACAGGAATATGATGATACACACTTCTTTAAAAATGAATCAGAATCCAACTGGGTATGTTCTCGGGTCAAAGAAATTGAAAGCTGTAAAGAAGATGTCTTAGATCCAGAGACTTCATTACCTCCAGGAAACTTCTATACCTCACAAATACTGTGGAAGAAAATAGAAGCACTTCCCCCAGATAAACTCTTAAATTTGGCTTTAGAACATTGTGACTCTTCAGAAAAAGAACTGAACTTCAGAGTTCTGGATAGTTCATATGGAATAACCAAGAGCTTAGAAAATATTTACTCTGAGCCTGAGGGGCAAGAATGTGGACCTTCCATAAATCCTCTGCCAAAACCTCGTAGGACATTCAGATATTTATCCGAATCTGGTGTTATGCCGTATAAAGAAAGAAACTGTGACAAAAAATACTGTGAAAATAATTCTTGTGCACAATCTTCTTTGGCCTCTTCTCAGGAACCTGAACCAAAGAAATATGGTGGAAAAATAAGAGGAAGATCTAAAAGGTATGTTTTTATCCTACAGATAAAGACTTGTAGGTATTTTCCTTACAGGATTATTGAGCCTCTTTTTCCTTTTCAAACCAGTTTCCATTTCCCAGCTTAGGTGGTGGCCCTGATTTGAACATGCAGGTGTTGATTAATGTGGAAGGAAAATAAGAGAAAAAAGTAGAAATGTAGTAATGTCTAAGATAATCTACTGACATAAGAGCATCGGAACACCTTCCATTTAATTAATATATCTTTAAGAATCTGGGCCAGCGCCGGGCATGGTAGCTCACTCCTGTAATTCCAGCACTTTGGGAGGCTGAGGCTGGCAGATCACTTGAGGTCAGGAGTTCAAGACCAGCCTGGCCAACATGGTGAAACCCTGTCTCTACTAAAAATACAAAATTAGCTGGGCGTGGTGGTGTGCACCTGTAGTCCCAGCTACACAGGAGGCTGAGGCAGAAGAAACACTTGAACCTGGAAGGCTGAGCTTGCAGTGAGCTGAGATCGTGCCACTGCACTCCAGCCTGGGTGACAGAGCAAGACTCAGTCTCAAAAAAACAAAAAACAAAATTAATCTATAGGAGCTGGGTGTGCTGGCTCAATCTCAGCACTTTGGGTGGCTGGGGCAGGAGGATCACCTGAGGCCAGGAGTTCAAGACCAGCCAAACACTAGACAGTGCAACACAGTGAGACCCTGTCTCTATAGAAAAAAAAAGAGAAAAAATTAGCCAGGTGTGGTGATGTGTTCCTGTCGTCCTACCTACTTGGGAGTATTACTTGAACCCAAGAGCTCAGGCTACAGTGAGCTGTGATCACTTCACTGCACTCCAACCTGGGCAGCAGAATGAGACCCTGCTTCTAAAATAAAATAAAATAAAAATTAAATTAAATTAAATTTAAAAATTCTGTAGGGAAGCAGTAACATTCTTCCACTTCATTTAGGGCATGCTGGCCTCAGCCCTACTTTTCCTTACTAAGTGAACTTAATAAAGGAACCCAATGTAGAACATGAATATGATTGGCTGCAAGCATCCAGTTTTCTCATGGTGTTTATAAGGCACAGCCTACTTCATTATTCTTAGATCTCTGATAAAACACCTTTGTAATTTTGCATACAAGTTCTGTACTTATTTATTTCTGTCTCCCATACCAATTTAAAGAAGATTAGAATTTTCTGTAATCGTAGCACTTTGGGAGGCTGAGGCAGGCAGATCACCTGAGGTCAGGAGTTCAAGACCAGTCTGGTGGTCATGGTGAAACCTCGTCTCTACTAAAAATACAAAAAAGAGCTGGTCATGGTGGCATGCACCTGTAATCCCAGGCGTAACATCCCTACAGCAATGTAGAATCACTTGAACCTGGGAGGCAGAGGTTTCAGTGAGCCAAGATTGTGCCACTGCACTCTAGCTCGGGCAACAGACTGAGATTCTGTCTCAAAAAATAACAATAATAAAACAATCAAATACATAAATAAAAATTTTAAAAAATAAAGAGAGTTTTGAAAGATATAACTTTAAAATATATCTATTTTCTTAAGGAAATCCTTTGAATTTGAGGATATTCAGCACTTTCGAAATCGGAACACACAGACGATTCATGAAGAACTTGGAAAAAATTCTGGGTCAGCACTTTATTACACACAGTCTGAGGACAATATCTATGAAGATATCATATGTAGGTGTTGACAACTTTGCAATTAAATTTGATGATTATATATTTGGTGAAGCCTTTAATTGTAGGATGGTATTTTCTTCTATAATCAAGCATATATTGCCCTAGGTTTTTCTCTTTAGCATGGAAACCTTTGGTGTATAAATTATTTTATTCTGTAATGAATTTTACAACTAATGTGATAGACTGCTCAGCTCATAAGTAGATTTTTATAATATAGCATTTTGAGAATTCTTTTAGCTCTGTTGGACATATAAGTGGCTTTGTAAGCTTAAAGTGCTTTAACCCACATCCCTACAGCAATGTCGAATAAGAAAGCTGAACATAGTTAGCTTTTTCTTTCTTTTGCTAGCTGTGGTTATCTTTGCATTTAGTTATGTTCATGTAAGCATTTTTTAAAATTATTTTTTAAGATCCCACCAAAGAAAATCCATATGAAGATATTCCAGTGCAGCCTTTACCTATGTGGAGATCCCCTTCAGCATGGAAGCTACCACCCGCTAAAAGTGCTTTTAAAGCGCCCAAGGTATAACCAGATAATTAATTGAAGAAAACATTAGAATCTTATTCATGGTATCTACAAAAAGATTAAGGGTGTTTAACTGGGGCCAGAACTAAGAGGCACTGAAATGTAAAGTTTAATGTTGGTGGTGGTTTTTTTGTTTTGTTTTGTTTTTGGGATAGCATACAGCTTTTTTTTTTTTTTTTTTTTTTGGTGGTTGTTTTAACACCTTAAAAATAATTGAATATATATGCCTTTAGACAGCCATGAACTTTTCAGTTCACTTTAGTTCCCACTTTCCCTATTAATCTACGTCAACCTATGACCATTAAATTACCTTCCTAGTCCCTGAAAGCATGCAAGACGCCTAGAAGCAAAGGCTCCCTAGAGTTCATAAAAACTGTGAGCCATTGTTTTCTGGGAATTTGATTACCCTGTAGTGGAACTTTGGATTAGAAACCTGAGAAACTTCTTTATAAATGGTGAGAAAGAAATTATGTTATCTTCATTTGAAATGATTTTAAATGAAATACAGGATAAATGCGTTTCTGGAATAGCTTTGACTTTGTATGATAACACAGGGATTAACTAGATGATGCTGGCCAGGCGCAGTGGCTCACACCTATAATCCCAGAACTTTGGGAGGCCGAGGTGGGAGGAATGCTTGAGCCCAGGAGTTTGAGACCAGCCTGGGCAACCTGGTAAAACCCCATCTTTACAAAAAAAAAAAAAAAAATTAGCCAGATGTGGTGACATGTGCCTGTAGTCCCAGCTGTTCAAGGGGCTGAGGTGGGGGGATCGCTTGAGCTCAGAGGTTGAGGCTGCAATAAGCCATGATCATGCCACTGAGTTCCAGCCTGGGTGACAGAGCAAGACCCCATCTCAAACAAACAAACAAACAAACAACAACAACAGAACTAGGTGATCTTACCAGTACATCTTATCCTGTTTTAGCTCCCTCCCAAACCTCAATTCCTTCACCGGAAGACTATGGAAGTAAAGAACTCACAAGCTTATTTGCGGTCAAAGCTCACAAAAGATACCACTTTGCCGGTCACTTTAACGGAATGGAAGCTTTTCCGAGCTGGTGAAGTTGCAAACAGGAAAATGAAAAATCTTCCAAGGGTAAAGACTCCAGTGCTTTCATTCTTTGACTCTTACTTCAGCATTTCCATGAATGAGAATAAGTAAACTGTAGACTGGAATGAATAATAGGTTAGAACTGACCTACTGGGATTAGAAGACTTGGAAGGCAGCGTTACGTTTTAAATTTTTGCTCATGCTAGAAAAGTGCATGAATGGCTTTTGCCAGAGTTTCATTATGGATTTGTAAAATTGATTTAGATGGGGACTTCACTTCAGTTACTTTAGCTCTCATTAAAATCATCTGCCTATTTCAAGGAAGCACCAGAATCTTATATAAAAGGGCGTTCTCTCAGGATGGCTTCAGTGTTGTTCTAATTCACTCATTCATATCTTTGCCAAAGTGAGTTCAGTTTTGTGCTTGAGTTTACAGATTTTCAGTAACGAAAAAGTATATGCCATTTATTTGGGGCAAAAATTTCCAAAGAAAAAAACAAATCTATTACTTGGGAATAGAAATTATCAGCAATCATAATACGTAAATGACTTCTCCCTCAAGGGAGAAAAGGCGGTAAGTCTGTACATCATCTCTACTAGAAGCATTGCAACCAAAATGAAGAAATTGAGATTACTTGCAGATAGACATATATATTTTTTTTCTTACATGTTTACTTATTTTGTAGAGACAGAGTCTTGCTATATTACCCAGGCTGGTCTTGAACTCCTGGCCTTAAGCGATCCTCTTGCCTTGACCCCCCAGAGTTCTGGGACTGCAGGTGTGAGCCACTACACCTGACTGATAGACATTTTCTTTTAGGAGAAATACTTAAGGAATTATATGAAAAATTTTTAAACTTTCTCTGTTACTTTGTTCTGCTGTAATGCAGGGTGTTATCAGGATTGTCAAAATACTATGCAAATATTCTACTGTAATGAAGAAATCAGATCACTTAAATATTATTCCTTCTTTAATCCCATCTGAATTAGCTATATATGTTCATTTAACATGTAATTTTTTTTTTTTTTTGAGATGGAGTCTTGCTCTGTTGCCCAGGCTGGAGTGCAATAGTGCAATCTCGGCTCACTGCAAGCTCCATCTCCTGGGTTCACGCCATTCTCCTGCCTCAACCTCCTGAGTAGCTGGGACTACAGACGCCCGCCACCATGCCTAGCTAACTTTTTTGTATTTTTAGTAGAGACGGGATTTCACTGTGTTAGCCAGGGTGGTCTCGATCTCCTGACCTCGTGATCCACCCACCTCGGCCTCCCAAAGTGCTGGGATTACAGGCTTGAGCCACTGCGCCCGGCCTAACATGTACTTTTTGTACCTGATTTTAACATTAAACAAAAGTCACATCTATTTCTTGGGTTAGTAACTGTTGATTGATTCCTTGGGAAATATTCTATTCCACAGTTTAATTCTTATGATCAGTTTTCTGCCCCTTCCTCTTTACTATGTGAAAAGTTAAAGACATAGAGGTTTTTTAAAGCTAAACTGGGCCGGGCATAGTGGCTCACGCCTGTAATGCCAGCACTTTGGGAGGCCGAGGCGGGCGGATCACGAGGTCAGGAGATCGAGACCATCCTGGTTAACACGGTGAAACCCCTTCTCTACTAAAAAATACAAAAAATTAGCTGGGCATGGTGGCAGGTGCCTGTACTCCCAGCTACTTGGGAGGCTGAGGCAGGAGAATGGCGTGAACCCGGGAGGCGGAGCTTGCAGTGAGCTGAGATCACATCACTGCACTCCAGCCTGGGCAACAGAGCAAGACTCTGTCTCAAAAAAAAAAAAAAAAGAGCTAAACTGATCTTTCTTAGTGAAAAAAAAAAACAGTAAACAGTAACTGTTTATCTTTCTGTGTATGATGAGGAATATTTTTTTAAAAAGAGGCTTAAAGAACTGCCAGGCATCTTGCAGTAGCTCCGTCCTCCGGTAGATCATGTTGACACAACAAAGCAGCCTCCCACATGGTCAAGAAACGACAAATTGTGTGTTCATAGGGAGAAGAATGCAAACACCTTAAGGGACTGCCTTTAAGATGTGGTTCTTATAATGGCATTAACAAATATTTAGGAATCATGGATTATAGAGTTTAATGAGACCCAGGGAGGCTTTACAGCACTTCTGATTTCATGCCTCAATATTTTATGTATTATGGATCTCAAGTACTCGAAGCTTTTTCTGTATCTGATGATAGGTGATATGATCTAACTTTTCCCTTTCTAATATTTTTCTGAAGGTTTTTGGAGATGTGAGGAGAAAAAAATGATTATGAATTTTTAATTGTCAGGCAGGAACAAGCCATGACAGCATTTCTACCCATGACCCTCCTTGGATTAAATCTCGTTAGGATGTCCCTTATGCAATACAAAGTTTGGCTTTGGAGTATCTTGTAGAACAACATTCCATAAGAAAGTCCATTTTCATTTATTTCCCCTTTAAGGCCTCCAGCTATCCCTGGAAGGGAAACTGCCTCACAGTTTCACCTCACTGATCTAGTCCATTTGCCTCTTCCCCACTCTTCCGTTCCTTCCCTGCTGTGGAATCCTGTGTCGGATTGTTTGCTAGAGTACATTTCCTACTGCCTTTATTGTTTGTGTTGTGTGTACAGCAGTATGATTTCCATCATTTCTTAGGAAGAATATTCTACAGTATTTCTTGCAACTAGGAGGCTCTTCTTCCTAGCTCATGACAGAAATTTAAATTTATCACTTTATCGCATAGTTTTAGAACAGTTCTCTTTCCTTTATACTTGAATATACTTTTGATTCTACTTTTCAAATGCAAATTAACAATTATGCTATTTTGGATCATTATGTAACCCAAATATATATTTATTTCCATACATCTTTCCTATAGCTCTTAGTACTTTTTAATTTTAGATTCTCTTATTTGTTTTCGGTAATGGTGATATTTAAGAACATTGGCAATTTTTCACTTGCGTTGCAGCGATAAAAATCTTTAAGAGCACAAACTCATCCAAAAATGTGGTAATAATCTGTGTATTGGAAGCATGTGTTTCTTACATGGTTTTTTGGGGGTGGGTGGTTGGCAGGGGACGGTGGTTTGCACTGGACTGATTCACTGCCTGTTGATTGCCAGGATGGCTAGAGAAACAAGGACAAAAGAGAATACAAGAGCATTTTTCTCGGGGAACTTTATTGGTTGTTATCATATATAATGTTCCTAACAATTGTAATTCTGGGCATTAAGTATGTTAAATCAGGATTGATACTTAAGAAAAGCTTGGAATTTTAAGAAAAAAAAAGAAATATTTCTAGAAAAACTAATCAATTCCTCCTTTTAAAAGTACCTGTTGATCAGCTCTGAATCTCCTCTTTTTTACCACATTCTGTGTGTGTCTCCTGTCTCTCTTACACACACATATCTCTCCCAGCAGCAAAGAAAACTTTCTAATGAGTAATACTTATAAAATGGAGAGAAGCAATTATATAACAATTTAAAAATAAATGGTCTGGATTTTACTTGCTTGAGAAATAGATTGATGAGTGGAAGAAAAAACATAGTTTTTGTATTTCAGTATATTTGGGTCTCGTAATTTTATGACATACTTCTGAAATAAATGGTAATGTTAGTACTCTTAGAATATTCCCTTTGACAAAAGCTTTCTAAGTATGTTTATCCGCTCCTTGGGAAGAATTTCTGGGAGCAGAAATAACTGTGCCTCACCTTGCCTTTTAGATAAATGAGTGTTCCACTTCCTACTCCAGGCAAGTGAGAACTTGAGTTTAATAGTAGAGGCTTGATCACTATACAAAGGGCAATTCCTGCATGTTGTGACATGGAGTGACAAGGAATCTAAAAGCCTGTGCTGGGTTCATACGACATCCTTTCCCATTTTCCTTCCCCATGTTATGTGGACTTGGTATTAGAACAACGTATCTTCTAATTAAAGGTCATCATTTTAAATCCAAAATTCAAAAAGGTAAAGGTTTCTATTTATAAAATAGGTCTTTTCTCTGAATAAGAATCCTTAATAGATTAATATCATCAAACTGTGAAACTTTTGGGTGTTGATCTTAATTTGTATTTTTCTGGTCTTTTTTCAGCTTGTATTGAAAATAGATGACATATTTGAATCTAAAAGAGGGAAGAAGAAGGTAAAGTTACATTCTTACACTGGAAAGGAATTACCTCCAACAAAAGGTAAGAATTGTTTTCTGTTTCAGCTATCCTGTAGCTGTCAGGATATAAGAGGAGAATCACCGTATAACTTAATGTTTGATATGTATTAAAAATTTTGGCTTAACTTTCCTGTTATCCCACTTAAGCATAAACTTCTTTAAGATAAGGGATTGTTTCTCAAATCCGTTTTATTTAATTCTGTGCCAAGTAATAACTATTGGATGAACAAATAAAAAATGCAAAAATAATCATAAACCAATGATACTAATTTTCATAGACAAATTGAATCACTATTTTGTAGTCCTACTTTGATTTATAATCATTTATCAGTATAGACTCTTTTGTTGTAGGTATGAAAACATTAGTCTTGTATAGACTGAAGGTATGTGGTACTCAACTTGTAGTCATTTAATAAGTTTTATCCTGGCCAGGCATGGTGGCTCACGCCTGTAATCCCAGCACTTTGGGAGGCCGAGGCAGGCAGATCACAAGGTCAGGAGTTCGAGACCAGCCTGACCAACATGGAGAAACCCTGTCTCTACTAAAAATACAAAAATTAACTGGGCGTGGTGGCGCGCACCCATAATCCCAGCTACTCAGGAGACTGAAGTAGAAGAATCACTTGAACCCAGGAGGCGGAGGTTGCAGTGAGCTGAGATCACGCCACTGTGCTCTAGCCTGGGCAACAGCGAGACTCCATCTCAAAAAAAAAAAAAAAGTTTTATCCTTCAGATGCCTAGATAAAATTTATAGTGTTAACTAAGAAATTGTCAATATTTATAATAAATCATTAGAACTTTCTTAAAAACTTATGCAAGATTCTTAACTTGGTTGTCTGGGAATATGGTTTGGCTGTGTCCCCACACAAATTTCAATTTGAATTGTATCTCCCAGAATTCCCACATGTTGTGGGAGGGACCTAGGGGGAGGTAATTGAATCATGGGGGCCAGTCTTTCCCATGTTATTCTCGTGATAGTGAATAAGTCTCACAAGAATTGATGGGTTTATCAGTGGTTTCTGCATTTGCTTCTTCTGATTTTCTCTTGCTGCCACCACGTAAGAAGTGCCTTTTGCCCCCCACCATGATTCTGAGGCCTCCCTAACCATATGGAACAGTAAGTCAAGTTCAGCCTCTTTGTTTCTCAGTCTTGGATATGCCTTTTTTTTTGAGATGGAGGTTTGCTCTTGCTGCCCAGGCTGGAGTGCAGTGGCATGATCTCAGCTCAGTGCAACTTCCATCTCCCAGGTTCAAGCGATTCTCAGCCTCAGCCTCCCAAGTAGCTGGGATTACAAGCATCCACTACCATGCCCGGCTAATTTTTTGTGTTTTTAGTAGAGACAGGGTTTCATCATGTTGGCCAGGCCAATCTCAAACTCCTGACCTCAAGTGATCCACCGCCTCAGCCTCCCAAAGTGCTGGGGTTACAGACGTGAAGCACTGTGCCTGGCCTTGGGTGTGTCTTTATTAGCAGCATGAAAATGGACTAACACATCTGGCAAGTATGTAGAATTTAGCAATTTTTGTTTATAAGTTCCTTAGAAACAACAGCTAAGTCATAGCAAAGGAGAACATTTCTTCTTTTTGCAGACTTTTAAAGATAGAATTTTCTTTTCTTTTTTTTTTCTTTTTGATACAGAGTCTCTCACTCTGTCACCCAGGCCGGAGTGCAGTGGTGTAATTTCAGCTCACTACAACCTCTGCCTTCTAGATTCAAGTGATTCTCCTGCCTCTTCCTCCTGAGGAGCTTGGGTTTACAGGCGCATGGCACCACACCCAGCTAATTTTTTCTCAGTTGAGATGGGATTTTACCATATTTGGCCAGGCTGATCTTGAGCTCCTGACCTCAAATGATCCACCTCCCTGGCCCTCCCAAAGTGCTAGGATTACAAGCATGAGCCACCACACCTGGCCAGAATTTTCTTTTTTTTTCTTTTGCTGCTGCTTTTTTTTTTTTTGAGACAGTCTTGCCCTGTCTCCCAGGCTGGAGTCCAGTGGCGCAATCTCAGCTCACTGCAAGCTCCGCCTCTCAGGTTCACGCCATTCTCCTGCCTCAGCCTCCCGAGTAGCTGGGATTACAGGTGCTCACCACCACGCCCGGCGCTAATTTTTTGTATTTTTAGTAGAGACGGGGTTTCACCGTGTTAGCCAGGATGGTCTTGATCTCCTGACCTCGTGATGCGCCCATCTCGGCCTCCCAAAGTGCTGGGATTACAGGCGTGAGCCACTGCACCCAGGTATCTCTAAGTAGGTTATTACCGAGCCCTTAATTTATTTGTAGTCTATGCCTTATGGATTAGGAACATTCTAGTAAATTTGGCTCTACGACAAGTTTTTGAAGAGCCAGTTTTTTGACTGTATTAATGTTGAAAAGAACAAAAAATCCTCCAACTTCTAGCCAACTTCTGCTGTCCAAAACAAAAGTAAAGAAAAAAGGAGCAGCCTCTACATTGTAACCCTTCACTTATGGCTCAAATAAAATAAGCATTTACCTTTCCCTACCTCTGACCAACTCCTCCAGTGCACCAGAGAAATTTCTCTCATGCCTGAGGATCTCCTGCCTTTATCATCACAGTTCTCAGATTTTCATTTTCTTTGTTAAGCTTTTGTCTGTATATCAACAATGCCTAACACAATAGATAATTATATTTACCTACTCTGAAGTCCCTGCTAGAGTTTACTGAATATATTCCAACCTGAATATTTGTTGATTTTTTTTTTTCTTTTCTGAGACAGAGTCTCACTCTGTGACACAGGCAGGGGTGCAGTGATGCAAACATGGCTCACTGTAGCCTCAACCTCCCGGGTTCCAGCTTTCCTCCCACCAGAGCCTCCTGAGTAGCTGGGATCACAGGCTCATGCCCACCACACCCAGCTAATTTTTAATTTTTTATAGAGACAAAATCTCACTATGTTGCCCAGATTGGTCTTGAATTCCTGGGCTCAAACGATCCTTCTGCCTCGGCCTCCCAAAGTGCTGGGATTATAGGCATGAGCCACCATACCTGGCCCTAAATATTTCTTAACTTTCAGTTTTCACGTATTACAAAAGGACTTACCAGCCTTCATCAATTCTGTCATTATAATTTTGTGTGTTGAAGTCTCATATTAAAAGTGGACTATCTGGGCCGGGCGCGGTGGCTCAAGCCTGTAATCCCAGCACTTTGGGAGGCCGAGACGGGCGGATCACGAGGTCAGGAGATCGACACCATCCTGGCTGACACGGTGAAACCCCGTCTCTACTAAAAAATACAAAAACTTAGCCGGCGAGGTGGTGGGCGCCTGTAGTCCCAGCTACACGGGAGGCTGAGGCAGGAGAATGGCGTAAACCCAGGAGGTGGAGCTTGCAGTGAGCTGAGATCCGGCCACTGCACTCCAGCCTGGGCGACAGAGCGAGACTCCGTCTCAAAAACAAAAAAACAAAAAAACAAAAAAACAAAAAACAAAAGTGGACTATCTGGTACTTTTTCGATCCCTGTGGATTCTCAGTAGATTTTTCTCTTGCCTCGTTCATTGTCTTAGAATACAGGTCATCAAAACCCGTAGATGAGAATATATTAAGCCAATTAAGTGATCTTTTATAAGGACTTTTCTAGTTATATTGCCTTTTCTCCTTTTCTTCTCTGTTTTCTTTCTTTCCAAGCACTTCCTAAGTTTCTAAGAGGTACCTGGTCCTAAGACTATAGATAGGACCAGGAGCTCACAGTGTTCGTTTCTTCCTCTGAATAATATGTTATAGCCACACTATACTTTTTGTCATGGTGGTTAATTTTGAGTTATAAAACATATGTAATATGCAATATTTAAATAAGCGCTTTTTCTGTAACATCTCTTATGTGTCTTTCCCACCTAAGAATAGGCAGCATTTATTTTAATGTTCTCTTATTCCTTATTATAAAATGAAAAGCCAGAGTTTTCCAAACTTCCCCCTTGCACACTTAGAAAATTTCATGTGCATGCAAATACATTTTCTACACAAATACTCTTACACTATTCAGGCTTTGTATGCCTTCCTTTTTTAAAAAGCTTAATTAATGTATTTCAGAGCTCTTTCAATATCAACACATAGAGATCCACATAGCTGTACTGTATTTCATTGCATAGAAGTAAAATAATTTTATTTAACTAGTAGACAGTTTAGTTGTTTCTAACATTTTATTTAACCTGTAGATATTTAAAAGTGTGTGTGTGTTTACATAAAAATCTTCAATGCTGCAAATGCATCTTTTACTTATGTTTCTATATAAGACTATTTTTGTAGAATAAGTTCCTAGAAGTGGGCTTAATCACAGAACATATGGATTTAAAATTTTGGCCAGGCATGGTGGCTCACACCTGTAACTCCAACAGTTTGGGAGGCTGAGGCGGGTGGATCACTTGACCCCAGGAGTTTGAGACCAGCCTGGGCAACATGACGAAATCCTGTCTCTACAAAAAATACAAAAATTAGCTGGGTGGCCAGGTGCGGTGGCTCACACCTATAATCCCAGCACTTTGGGAGGCCAAGGTGGGCAGATCACGAACTCAGGAATTCGATACCAGCCTGACCAACATGGTGAAACCCCGTCTCTACTAAAAAATACAAAAATTAGCCAGGCATGGCGGCACACGCCTGTAATCCCAGCTACTCAGGAGGCTGAGGCAGGAGAACTGCTTGAACCCAGGAGGTGGAGGTTGCAGTGAGCCAAATGGCTCCACTGCACTCCAGCCTGGGCCGTCTCAAAAAAAAAAAAAAAAAAAAATTAGCTGGGTGTGGTGGCACACGCCTGTAGTCCCAGCCTACTCGGGAGGCTGAGCTAGGGGGGATCACTTGAGCCCAGGTGGCAGAGGTTGCAGTGAGCCAAGATTGTCCCACTGCATTCTAGCCTGTGCAGCAGAGTGAGACCCTGTCTCAAAAAAAAAAAAAAAATTTTTAACTGCTGCCAAATTGTCCCACAAGCAGATTGTAACAGCTTATGTTTCTACAAACATCATTTGAAAATACCTCTTTCCCCATAATCTTCATCAATAAATACTATGCTTTATTAAAGCTTTTTATGGCAGTATCATGGTTGAAAATGTATGTCTTGTTTATTGTTTTAATTTACTTTTATTTCATTATGAATTTGGGCAGTTTTCATGTTTATCAACAACTTACAAATCTTTTTCTATGAATTGCCTGTTCCCACCCTTTATTCCTTTTTTCTGTTGTGCTTTTTCTTCTTGATTTGTAACAATTTTTTGAACATTAAGAAACAGCCTTATATCTGCAATGTGTTTACAAATATTTTCCCAGTTTATCGTTCACTTTTTGAGTTTAATACTGACTTTTAAATTAGATACAAGTTTATATAATCAAACTTCACTTATGACTTCTAGGCCTTGTTTTTTTCTGATACATTTAAATGTTTTCCCTTTCTTTGCATTTCTATTTTGCTTTAACTTTTCAAACTTAATCTAGAAATGTTTCATTTATTTATTTTAAAAGCTGCTTTGTGTGTGTGTGTGTGTGTGTGTGTGTGTGTTGCCTGTGTGCTCGGAATTATACAAAACACTCCCTTGTGAAAACAAGATAGCCCCTTATCTCCAAAATACTTAAAATATGATTGGGGAAAATGAAAATAATTCAAAGCATTATGAGTACTATGAGAATTTAGAGTAAAGAAAAAATCAATATGGACTAGAAGTAGTTTAGAGGCATCATAGAAGAGGTAGGCTGACTTGGTAATATCTCTCTCCTAGTTCTCATGGTTTCATGTTGTTCTAAATTTATAGTCTGGTTGGTGTTTATATTCTTGGTTAGCTCTCTTGGTGTTTGCCTTTGATACTTTATTTGGAATATACAGACAACTATGTGGATATAGAAATAGAATCCACTCTGAACTAGACTTCTTAAAACTGGTCTGAAATGCAATTAGTTTCTAGAATTAGGGATAAGAGGGGAGCTGAGGAGTGAAGTAGGGTGTGGGAAGAAGATGTAGTAGAGGAGTTTCCTCTTTGAGCCTTTTACTCTCTTTTGATAGCTATCCCAACCTGATACAACCAAGTGGTTTGGAGAAAGGCTCAGCAGCTTTATTATTCCTTACTCCAAGTCCCCAGGTTTGTGGGTTTACATTGTTCTCATCCTCATGTACTTCCTACTGTTGGACAATACAAATGGAAACTCCTTCTCTCTTTTTCAGGTGAAACCAGTGGGAACGAAAGTGATGCCGAGTATCTGCCAAAGAGTGAGTGAGTCAGTGGAGCTGCTCCCGTTCTTGTGATGATCTTGGGTTAGGTGGAGTGGCACCTACCTTTGTGATTAAGCATGTTTTTCCCCACATGAAGTTCCATTTTGTAGGTGATTTCCTTATTTTCAGAACTTGTTGAGGTTTGGAGAATTAAACAGTCAGAATTAAACACTGTCAGATATTTGACAGCATTTAAAGTCTCCTGTGGTGGAGTGAGGCTGAACAGTGTGGTTCTTATGATGGAATATTCTTAGGGGAGCGGCAGAGAGCTGCATGTCCAGACATATATGCAGTAGTTTCCTGGCAGCCAAAACAGAGTGTGTGAATCATTCTCTGAGCAGTAAACATCTGATTTTTTTTTTTTTTTGAGATGGAGTCTCCCTCTGTCGCCCAGGCTGGAGTGCAGTGGTGTGAGCTCGGCTCACTGCAACCTCTGCTTCCTGGGTTCAGGCGATTCTCCTGCCTCAGCCTCCTGAGTAGCTGGGATTACAGGCACGAGCCACCACACCAAGCTAATTTTTGTATTTTTAGTAGAGATGGGGTTTCACCATGTTGGTCAGGCTGGTCTCGAACTCCTGACCTCATGATCCTCCCACGTCAGCCTCCCAAAGTGCTGGGATTACAGGTGTGAGCCACCGCGCCCAGCCAAATATCTGATTTTTTTGTAGCCACTCAAGTGTAATTATTTAAGTAATTTTGATACCTCTGATATTGAAAAAGGAAACATCTATTTGTTATTTATAGGCATTTATATTCCAGATTATTGTGCTGTTTACTTTCTAGTAGAATAGAGAATGCATCATGCTTTTTTTTGACTCTATTTGTCCAAGCACTTCATGGTACCTTCATCCTTCATCTAATGATGATGTTATCTAGTTATCACAGCAAGTTATCTACTTCCTATTTAAGTGACTGACATACTAAGCCGTGTAAAAAGTAGAAGACGTACATTATCAAAGCTGAGTACAGGGCAGTTCCACTTCCAATCTGACACCCTAATTTTATGATTAATAGTCTTGTGCTCCCTCCACTGGCCTGAATTGCTTCAGGTGTTTGATTCTGTAGCCTGATTGAAGGTGAAATTTAATAATCATCAGGTTCAGTCTAGATGTGTAAAGATGACTAATTTAGGGCTGTTACTACTGAGAAACAGGACCTAAAATTTTCTTGACTTGAACTCAGCCCTTTGACGTAAGTAAAGTTTTGCCTAGAGCACTGAATGTACTGGATTATTCTGGGGAGCCATTCCCGGATGCATTTTTTTAAATGTTCTTCATATTTTGATCTATAGTATAACTTCTTTTGGGACAGCATGCATTATATCAAAAAGAAAGGAAAGACAATTAGAGGTTGAGTCTATCAGTGGCTCAGAATGACACATAAGCAAATCATTGGGACATGTAGACTATTCTGCAAGTCCATAGTTTCCTTCAGTGGGGACCACCCTAGATTGCTCAAAATTTAGAGATAAATGAGAATAGAGGATAGGTGCTATCCAGTTTTGATTGATATTGCTATGACTGTTTAAATAGTATGCTTCCATAATTTTATTATTTTGAGAAAGTCTGCTGGTGGATATCTTCTTCCACTTAATATTTCTCTCTTGCATCTAGCACTATTTACTGATACAAGCATATATTCATTGTTAGTAATATATGGCAAGGAGGGGAGGGAACTGGACAGTTTCTTCAATGTGAGGATAATTTTTGTTTTAATTTATCAAACTCACCCCTTTCTGTACTTAGGACTCAATTATTTTATCAAATCTCTGCCCCCTGCCCCCTGCCACCTGGCACCCTGTGATTTCATGGCATTCCCAGCAGTAGCATCTGTTGTCAGTCTAGCACTTTTTCATGACATTTTCCATGTGTCCTGGTGTGATGCCGTGAAAGATGGGATAGCATAGATTATTTGTTGGGACATACATAAGTATTGGTTGGTACATGGAATGTCAGTCCCATTGCTGGCCAGAAGTGGAATGAGGCCCCTGTGCACTTGTGAGGGTCTGCACCTATTCCCCCTAGAATGTCAGAGCCCTAACAGATATGTCTATGCGTCAGATACTGGTTATTCAACATTCATTCCGCAGTGACTGTGGGAAGATTAATCCTGTGTGGGTCATGACCTCTGGTGCTGGAAGGAAGGTAGGGCTACAGAGAGAAAACATTGCTCCATGTTTTCATTACAGATCGCCATAAACGCTTAGCACAACTGCAACAGTCTTCCAAGAGGAATCCTCACTACCAGACCTTGGAGCGGGATCTTATTGAATTACAGGAGCAGCAGCTGTTTGAACTTTTTGTGGTGGTGTCTCTACAGAAGAAACCATCAGGAATAAGCTATATTCCCCAGGTCATACAACAATTCCCTGGCAAGGTAGGTACAAGGAGGCCAAGAGGCATTCAGGAATGTTCCTGTGTCTCTGTGTACATTTATTTCCTGTCCTCTTGGTTTTTGTTATCTCAGCCAGTTTTTACCAGTACTTGTGGTAGGATCTGGTGGCTTTGAAAACATGTTATGTTAGGCATGAGCTGCAACCCAGCAAAACAAAGCAACACAAAACAACTCATTTTCCTAGTTTTTTAAATTTTTGGCTCTGCCATTTAATAATCTTTAACAAGTTACAAAACCTTAAGGAGGGGAATAATAAATGTGACAGAATAGGGTAGTGGTTTAGAGTATGTACTCTGTGCAAAAGCTCTGCATTTCCCACTTATTAGTTCTGTGACTTTAAGAAGTTACTTTTCTTTCTCTCTCTTTTTTTTTTGAGACAGTGTCTCGCTTTGTTGCCCAGGCTGGAGTGCAGTGGTGCAGTTTCGGCTCACTGCAACCTTGCAACCTCCACCTCCCAGGTTCAAGCCTCCTGAGTAGCTGGGACTACAGGCATGTGCCACCACGCCCAGCTAATTTTTATATTTTTAGTAGAGATAGGATTTCACCATGTTGGCCAGAGTGATCTCGAACTCCTGACCTCAAGTGATCCGCCCACACTGGCCTCCCAAAGTGCTGGGATTACAGGCGTGAGCCACCATATTGTGTCTTAGTTGTTTAATTTGTAGAATGGGGGTAATCACAATAGTATCTACCCCTCTGAGTCAGAGTGAGGATTAAATAAGCTAATTTATATAAGGCACTTAGAACAGTGTCTGGCATGTAGTAAGCTCAATATGATGTTATCCATTATTAGTAAGGATTTAGTGAGATAATGTATATAAAGTGCTTAATGCCATCCCTGGCACATAGTATGTACTCGATAAATGGTAGGTACTAATTTTTGGTAGCCATTATTATTAACAATAATATTTGATTTCTCTACCTTTTTAAAAATAAAATCATTCATTCATTCAAATATTTTAAAAATACCTAATATTTGCCAGGATTAGATGATGGGAGTACTACTGAAAAAGATCTTAGTTAAGCCCACAGACATGATTGGGTTTCTTTTGCTTTGCAGAGTGTCTGTGTAAAAGTAACAACAATAATTTTTGTTGCCAACATTTAACAATCAAATTTCACATACAAATCTGTATTTCTGCCTTTTGCTGAGAAACTGGAAAGAATGCCAGCACAGCCTGCATTCCTAAGTGTCAGGAATGGGTTGAAGCTTAATAAGGAGCAGGACTTCAGAGCAGGTGACCAGTGTAGTTACATAAAGCCGTCACTCAGAAGGGCCCTGCGTGTAGGGTTTAATGATCTGCAGTCACCATCTTGAAATGTTAAATAATTTTAGCTTTGAATTTGTGTTTGTAAATGAAGTCTGATAGGAAAATTGGGCATGTGCCAAGGTCTTAAAGCCTGAGTTCATGCATGGTGTCACCTTCTGCTGCTTCCCTAGGATGAGTTCTCTTGTCCTGTTCTCCACTGCCTGATTCCCTGGGTCCTAGCATGTGCCCTTTCCACCTCTACTCAGTGACTACTGCCACCTTCTCCCCCCAGCTGGGCACAGGCATTGGGAGGGTTAGGATCAGGCCAGCATTGCTCTGCAGCATCTCCAGGCAAGGCATGGGGAAGCTTTCCCTGGCCTGGGCTGGTGGTGCCACTCATGGGTGACTTTTTGGGGGTTGCTCAACTGCTGTGGGTTGGAATGTTGGCCCCCATGGGAAGGGGAGATGCCTGGCATAACTTCCCAACCCCCAGTCGAAACACAGAGTCTCAATTCTGCAGCTACCCGGAGAGGAAACCCAGTACCTCGTGGGCCCCTTGCGTACCAAATTGCAGACTGCAGCACCTGGGTGTCTGTGAGAGTCTACACTCATCCCCCAGGATCCTCATGCCTAAGGGAGTGTGACGTTAAATAGCAAATAAAAACTCCATTACAGAGGCCACAGAAGAAAAGATGTTTTATGTTTAATTTTTTCTGTTTTTTGGACAAGAAGCTCCACATTTTCATTTTGCATTATGTTGTCTGAATTATGTAGTTTTCCTTAGTAAGGAGTGATCCCTTTAATAGGAACATTTACTCACTCTCCTGCTTATTACTTGGACCACTTCTCTCATTTCAGTTACCTGCTTGGCCACTTTAGGACTTTTGGGTTTATAACCCTGAGTTACATGTTTCACTAAAAAAGCTGGTGAAGTACAACTGTACTGGAATCTAAGAGACATTTCCTGCATGGATTCTCATTTTCAAAGTCCTCAAAAATATCCCTACAGTAAATAATCAGTAAGTTTAATTTCTCATAAAATTTCTCAATGTAGCCTGAAAGTACAATGTCACAGCACTGTTAAGTGACCCAGAATGGCTACATAGTTTGGTTTTTTTAAGAAATTAAAGGGGCCATGCACAGTGGCACATGCTTATAATCCCAGCTAGTTGGCCAGATGAAATGGGAGAATCACTGGAGCACAGGAGTTTGAGGCCAGCCTGGGAACATAGCAAGACCGCCTTCTCAACAACAACAAAAAAGAAATTAAAGGGGAGGTCATTTTTACTAGTTATCTGAAGGCAATATGGTAATTAGACTTAAGGGCTTGTTTTTATAGAGGACAGGTCATACTAATTTCTAAATGTCTGGTTTACTGAAATTCAGACTGTCACATACGTACAGTACCAGATTTATGCAAAAGGGTCTTCTATGCTAAAATTAGGTAGCAAAGATTCTATGCTAAAGGAAATGATTATATATGGGGTGGATTCTCAAAATAGTATCTTTTCTTTTTTCTTTTTTTTTTTTTTTGAGACGGAGTCTCGCTCTGTTGCCCAGGCTGGAGTGCAGTGGCTGGATCTCAGCTCACTGCAAGCTCCGCCTCCCAGGTTTAAGCCATTCTCCTGCCTCAGCCTCCCGAGTAGCTGGGACTACAGGCGCCCACCACCATGCCCGGCTAGTTTTTTGTATTTTTTTAGTAGAGACGGGGTTTCACTGTGTTAGCCAGGATGGTCTCGATCTCCTGACCTCGTGATCTGCCTGTCTCGGTCTCCCAAAGTGCTGGGATTACAGGATTGAGCCACCGCACCCCGCCTATTTTTTCTTTTTTCGAGACAGGTTTCTCTCTGTCTCTCAGACTGGAGTGCAATGGCACAATCACGGCTCACTGCAGCCTCATCTTCCTAGGCTCAAGAGATCCTCCCACTTCTGAGCCTCCTGAGTAGCTGGGACTACAGACATGTGCCACCACACCCAGCTAACTTTTGTATTTTTTGTAGAGATGGGGTTTCACCATGTTGCCCAGGCTGGTCTCCAACTCCTGGGCTCAAGTGATACGTCCACCTTGGGCTCCCAAGGTGCTGAGATTACAGGCATGAGCCAGTGCATCTGGCCGTATCTTTTCTAAATAATATTCATCTACCATTTATTTTCTTTTTTTTTTTTTTTTTTTTGAGACGGAGTCTCGCTCTGTTGCCCAGGCTGGAGTGCAGTGGCTGGATCTCAGCTCACTGCAAGCTCCGCCTCCCAGGTTTAAGCCATTCTCCTGCCTCAGCCTCCCGAGTAGCTGGGACTACAGGCGCCCGCCACCACACCTGGCTAATTTTTTGTATTTTTAGTAGAGACGGGATTTCACCATGTTAGCCAGGATGGTCTCGATCTCCTGACCTCGTGATCTGCCCGTCTCGGCCTCCCAAAGTGCTGGGATTACAGGCCTGAGCCACCGCGCCCGGCCCTTTCATCTACCATTTCAAAGCTTCTTTAATTACTGATTGGACAGTGTCTTGAGCTGACTAGGTTTTTGTTCTCAGTACATTGAAGAATGAATTTTTATCTTATGTCCCATGGTTCATAAAAATACTGGGTTCCCATTAGTTTGTGAATCCTGAATTAAGACATTTCCTCTTGATAGGAAACTTTTCACTAATCTCTCTTACAGTAGATGCTGAGATATCCACAGGTACCATTTCTCAGTAAAAACAGGATTCTTTGTTCTCAGTAACTCTGTTCTCAGTTCATCTTCAGTGATTTCCAGAATTGACTTTTTAATTTTGTTAAGCAGTACAAAACCATGCTGAGGCTTATCAGTAACTGCCCAAGCTTATCAGAGACCTTTTTTCCTGAGATGAGACTGAGTTTTTTATTTCTATTCCCCACTTACATAGTATAATTCAAGTCACCTATTTTGAGGGTGTTTGAGGGTGTTATCTTTTTCAGGACGATCATGGCTATAAGCAGTCCAAAGACACGGAAGAGAGGCTTAAAGTTATCCCAAAATTTTGTTTTCCTGATTCAAAGGACTGGATGCCAACCTCAGAACTCAAGAGGTAAATGGGCGAATTTATCTAATTTATATTCATTAGAACTGCAAAAATAAATCAGAGTATTTGAGAAATGAGTAGAGCCATTAGTGAAGCTATGTGAATACTGTGGCAAGTCAAGGATGTGGTGGGAGGAAAGGAAGAAGCAGTATTAGAACATTTCCTATGTGGGGCTTAAAAAAAGAAAAACATGGAATAATTTCAGTGTCAAAAGGAAAACAAATTTGAGAGTCACTTCGAGGTTGCCAGTTCAACAACAACAACAACAACAAAAAGTTCTATTTTACGTGCAATCAAAAATGTTCCCAAGTGTACAGAAAGGAAAAAAGACTTGGATTTTGAGACTCAACCTAGAAACAGAGATAAAACAGAGCAAGGTCTTCATCTTCATTTTCTTTCTCCTTCAAATTAACAGAAGAATCCACAGCCCAGCTTTTATGTTCCCCTGTGGAACCTGTACAAAGGGAAGCTCCAGTTTGGGAAGTGTAGTATATTAAGAAAGGAAGTATTAAAGAATTTCTTCCAGGTATCTAGAGGAAATTACTATTTTTAATTAATGAACTGTCATAATCTCTGAATTCTGCTTGTAAATATTAATAGATGCCTGCTTTGTTCAAAACTGTAATTATTGATGATGCCATTTAGTTTGAAAAGCTTGATTTGTTGAACCATATCACATGGTAATGACCTTCTGGATAATAGCCTCAGCTGTTGCTTAAATAGCTCTGCACTTCAACTTCGCATTGCCTCCAGACTAAGCTACTGTCTCTCATAAGCAGTTTAGCCTGATTGACACTGTCATCTCTCAGCCATCACTGTTGATGCCCTTGTGTTGTCAGTTGCACTGCTACCTTTATAAACAGCGCCTTTCATATTGACCTGGCTGCTCTGTGGCTGGCTTTCCCCCACAACGAGTTATATATGTTTATTCTAGAGTATTTGGGAAATACAGAAGAGTAAATAAAAAGCAGAAATTGCAGATCACTGGCAATCTGGTTACTCAAAGGTAATCACTGTAAATATTTTGTCATATTCCCTTCCAATCTTTATTTTTAGCCAAATACAGATATGTATATATTGTTCAGGTTTGGATTTAGGCCAGGTGCAGTGGTTCACACCTGTAATCCTAGCACTTTGGGAGGCTAAGGTGGGAGGGTCACTTGAGGCCAGGTTTGAGACCATCCTGGGCAGCATAGCAAGTCCCTGTCTCTACAGAAAATACCAAAAAGCTAGACAGACACAGTGGTGTGCAGTTGTTACTCAGGAGGCTGAGGCAGGAGGACCATTTGAGCCCAGGAGTTCAAGGTTGCAATGAGTTATGATTATGCCATAGTACTCCAGCCTGGGCAACAGAGCAAGACCCTGTCCCAAAAAAAAAAAAAAGGAATGGAGGGAGGGAGGGAGGAAGGAAGGAAGGAAGGAAGATAATAAATATGTCTTCAGAAAATTAAGTTCTGTTCAGTGAGACCCAGTCTCTTAAAAAAAAAAAATTGGACTTTGCCAGGTACTGTGGCTCACGCCTGTAATCCTAGCATTTTGGGAGGCCGAGGTGGGAGGATCACCTGAGGTCAGGAGTTCAAGACCAGCCTGGCCAACATGGTGAAACCCCATCTCTACTAAAAATAAAAAATTAGTTGGGTGTGGTGGCACATGCCTGTAGTCCCAGCTACTCGGGAGGCTGAAGCGGGAGAATTGCTTGAACCCGGGAGGTGGAGGTTGTAGTGAGCGGAGATGGTGCCACTGTACTTCAGCCTGAGTGACAGAGTGATACTCTGTCTCAGAGAAAAAAAAAAGGGGGGACTTATTTGATTATCGAGTCTGAGTTTCTTTCTTGGGCATATTTAGGGTTTCATTTGTAAATTATTAATGCATATCTTTTGCCCATGTTTCTAATGAGGAGTTGATATTTTCCTAATAATTTTTATATATTAAGGATATAATCCTTTGCGTATCACTGCTCTATACAGCCTCTCAGAACTAAAGAGAAGAATTTGGAACTGGGAAATGACATATCAAAAGTCTTTGTAGCTTACCTGTTTGACTAAATTGGGGATTCAACAAAAGGAAAATAAGACCAGGCGCAGTGGCTCATGTCTATAATCTTAGCACTTTGAGAGGCCGAGGCAGAAGGATTATTTGAACCCGTGTGTTTGAGACCAGCCCTGGCAAGATCGTGAGACCTTATCTCTACACAAAATTAACAGATTAGCAGGGCATGGTGGCACACATATGTAGTTCCAGCTACTTGGGAGGCTGAGGTGGGAGGATCACTTGAGCCTCAGGAGGTCAAGGCTACAGTGAGCTCTGTTTGCACCACTGCACTCCAGCCTGGGCAACAGAGTGAGACTGTCTTAAAAAATAAAAATAAAATTTAGGCCAGGCGCGGTGGCTCACGCCTGTAATCCCAGCACTTTGGGAGGCCGAGGCGGGCGGATCACAAGGTCAGGAGATCGAGACCACGGTGAAACCCTGTCTCTACAACAATATACAAAAAATTAGCCGGGCGCGGTGGCAGGTGCCTGTAGTCCCAGCTACTTGGGAGGCTGAGGCAGGAGAATGGCAGGAACCTGGGAGGCGGAGCTTGCAGTGAGCTGAGATCGCGCCACTGCACTCCAGCCAGGGGGGCAGAGTGAGACTCCGTCTCAAAAAAATAAAATAAAATAAAATAAAATAAAAATAAAATTTAAATGAAAATAAGCCTGATTAATACCTAGAGTGGATGAATAAGAAAACAAAAGGAACCAACATCAACAGCTTATCCCATACCTATTCTCTCACTCCAGTACAAGGCAAGATATTCTTAAGACCTGGGCATTCATTCCTTAGGAGGAATGTGACTTGCAATGAATGTAATATTATGCCTCCTTTTAGATCACAAAATGACTACTGTTGGACTCTAGTTTTCAATTGTTTGTTCCATGGAGAATGCCATAAGTGGTTGTTTGGATCCTAAACTAACTATTGGCTCTTTTTTCAGTGAAACATTCTCCTTTGTCTTGACTGGTGAAGATGGAAGCCGGTGGTTTGGTTACTGTAAGAAGCTCTTGGTAAGTATCAGATTTGTGTTACTTACCAAGACAGGGTTGGTCAAGGAACAATTGAGTCAGAGTAGGAACTTCAGAAGCACTATCTCTAGATGAGTTTGAGGGATGCTCAATGACCTGTGTATTAAGGAAGCTGTATTAGCATTAAACAGCAAGAGCAAGGTGGGGGTTAACCATGGAGTGTTCTAGAAAAGAAGGGGTATGGATTTATTTTATTTGTTTATAATAGAGAAAGTAACTGATGACATAGTGGCTGAATCTCATCTGGATATATTTGGAATAGAGTACAATGAGCTACTTGAAGGAGCTCTGAGTTACTCATCAACCATATTGGGGCTTTTTTCTTGCTTAGGTGGCTTCACTAAACCTAGAATAAATCATGCTATCATTTTTAGCACTTTTCACATCTTTTAGTGTTCACTGAAGATGAGAGCCTTGGTTACTGCCCTGTACTAAAGAGTAGTAAAAGATAATTAATAGACCAAATCAATATTAAAAAAAACTTACGCTGCTTGATTTTTTTGTTGTTGTTTTTATCTTTTAGCCAGAAGGCAAAGGAAAGCGACTCCCTGAGGTATACTGCATGGTTAGTCGCCTAGGCTGCTTCAATCTTTTTTCAAAGGTGAGTGGAGAATGAGCTGTATGAAAAATGGTGTCCTTTTTGATCTCGCAATGTTAAGTGGCATAGACTTTAACATACTACTTCAGAAAGGTTCCCTATTAGTAAAGTAGGAACCACATTCCTGAAGGCTTAAACTTACATCTCTAATCCATTTGCTGTTGCTATATCATCTTCATTTTGGTTTGCTAGAACTTTCAGCTTAAGGGAGAACATAATCCAAAGCTTATCTTGTCTTGTGTCTTTCTTAGACCAAATTGCAGGATATCATTGCCACTGTCACTTTCCTTGCCCCTCCCTTAGTGAGCCAAAAAGGGGCTTCTCCTTCAAAAATATGTTGATTTATGTTAGTAACTTTTCTTCAGGGTATAATGATACCTCCCAAGAGATATGATGCTTATTTAACTTTTATTGATTGCAGAAGCTTATCTGTCTTTTTTTTTTTTTTTTTTTTTTTTTTGAGACGGAGTCTTGCTCTGTCACCCAGGCTGGAGTGCAGTGGCGGGATCTCAGCTCGCTGCAGCTCGCCTCCCGGGTTCACGCCATTCTCCTGCCTCAGCCTCCCGAGTAGCTGGGACTACAGGCGCCCGCCGCCTCGGCCGGCTGATGTTTTTTAGTATTTTTTAGTAGAGACAAGGTCTTCACGGTGTTAGCCAGGATGGTCTCGATCTCCTGACCTCGTGATCCGCCCGTCTCGGCCTCCCAAAGTGCTGGGATTACAGGCTTGAGCCACCGCGCCCGGCCAGCTTATCTGTCTTAAATTATATTTGGGTTATTTTAAAGTTTGTACACCAGGCTGGGCAGTTCCTGTAATAGCATTCTTTTATGTTTTTTAACTTAGTCCATAACAAAATAACGCTTTGTATGTATAGATTCTGGATGAAGTAGAGAAGAGAAGAGAAATGTCTCCAGCCCTTGTTTACCCATTCATGCGAAGTGTCATAGAAGCTCCTTTCCCAGCTCCTGGACGCACCATCACAGTTAAGAGTTATCTCCCTGGGGCCGGAGATGAGGTAAGTTAGCTCATTTTGAAAAGATTTGATAGCCACTAAAAAGCAGGACTTATACTAGTAGGCAGTTTCCAGAGCCCAAGGGGATAGATTTCCCTTTTCCATAAACTGTAAAGGATATGTTTTATTTCCATAAAGCAATGGAGAAATATCCAGCTGACCTGTAACATAGTTCTTCCTAGACCCAGGACCCAGAGATTTTCTACCATACGTAGACTGAACTCCCTTTGTAATGACAATTTCAATGTGATAAATGAAGACTGTATGTACTGTTGTCAGAAGGAATAAAGGATCTTGATTTACAGAACAAAAATAAGCTGTTGGGTCCTGGCATTAGTATAGGAAGCTTCACAGACCCTGTGTAGCAGACCCTTCTTGAATTTAACTTATGTAAGAATAACAGGATCCATAGCGTTGGCACTAGGGATTGTTTTCCAACATTAGCTCACATGATTCAAATTCTTGCATTTCAGTCCATTGAACTCTGCCGACCACTAGATTCCCGATTGGAACATGTTGATTTTGAATGTCTCTTTAAGTGCCTGAGTGTGTGTCATCTCATCCGCGTCTGTGCCTCTCTCCTTTTGGAGCGTAGGGTAATCTTTGTTGCCAACAGCCTAAGGTAAGAAATAAGTGAAATATGTTACTTCACACTGGTGTTTTATTTGCTCCAAATTTTAAAATTGGAGCTTTTTAAATTTTTATATTTTTTATATTTTTATATTTTTTTATTATTATAGTTTAAGTTCTAGGGTACATGTGCACAACGGGCAGGTATGTTACATATGTATGCATGTTGGTGTGCTGCACCCATTAATCCGTCATTTACATTACATTTCTCCTAATGCTATCCCTCCCTCCCTCCCCCCACCCCACAACAGGTCCTGGTGTGTGATGTTCCCCACCCTGTGTCCAAGTGTTCTCATTGTTCAATTCCCACCTATGAGTGAGAACAAAAATTTGGGCATATTATTAAAATGTAGGATCAGGCCGGGCGCGGTGGCTCACGCCTGTAATCCCAGCACTTTGGGAGGCCGAGGCGGGCGGATCACAGTCAGAGATCGAAACCCATCCTGGCTAAACAGGTTGAAACGCGTCTTACTAAAAAAGAATGCAAAGAATAGCCGGGCGGAGGGCGGCGGGCCTTGAGGTCCAGGTACTCGGGGAGGCTGAGGCAGGGAGGAGGATAATGGGTGAACCCGGGGAGCGGGTATGCTGTGCAGTGAAGCGAGGATCGCGCCACTGACTCCAGCCTGGGAGGGGGGAGGCTAAGGCGAGACTCTGTCTCAAAAAAAAAAAAAAAAAAATGTAGGATCAGTCTCTCAATTAGCTAGTGGTATATAGTGGCATGGATAATTTCAAATGGTAAATCATCAAAAAGCCACTTGCATTAGAGTATACAAATGACTTTTTTGGGTTATAATAAATTTCCCTTTTAAATGCATTTTGCTTATCCTATTGTCAAAAGTCGGTAATACTTTTCTAAGTACACTAATTTTTCTCATGAGAAATTGTGGAGATGAGCTGGATTGAGATTGAACATTTTCAGTAAATTAAGTTTAAATTTTAACTAAAATGTTAAAAAATTAATGACTGTTCACATAGTTTTTAATCTGTGATCACTAACCGGCATCAATTTTTAATTCTTTAACATAATAACTGAAATGTCCTCCTTATGTTGCTCTATATATGACACCATTTGTTTTCTCCTCTGGCTAGCACCCTGTCAAAATGTGGCCATGCTGTGGTAGCTACACTGTATCCGTTCACCTGGCAGCATACTTACATCCCAGTCCTGCCAGCATCTATGATTGACATCGTCTGCTCACCTACTCCATTCCTTATTGGAATCCTGTCTTGCTCCTTACCACAGCTCCAGGACCTACCCATTGAAGAGGTGAGATGGAAGAATAGAACCTAATATTGGAGCACTGAGAAGTAAAAATAAGTAATCTTAAGAGTGGTGGAATTGTTATTAATTAATATAGTTATTATTACTACTTTATGCTATTTATAATATTTCTATTATATTATAATGTTGTTTATAATATTTCTAGTATTAAGATGGGAAAATTTGATAGTACACATAAATCCAAACCTGTATCTTATTTACAGTAGTAACCTTGGGCTCATTCTTGTGTTATTCTGAAGGGTACAGTACTCTGGATTAACTTTAAAAATTATTTCACGGCCTGGCATGGTGGCTCATGCCTGTAATCCCAGCACTTTGGGAGGCTGAGGCAGGTGGATCACTTGAAGTCAAGGAGTTTGAAACCAGCCTGGCCAACATGGTAAAACCCCATCCCTACTAAAAAGACAAAGATTAGCCAGGTGTGGTGGCACATGCCTGTAATCCCAGCAACTTGAGAGGCTGAGGCAGAATTGCCTGAACCCAGGAGGCGGAGGTTGCAGTGAGCTGAGATCATGCCACTGTGCTCCAGCCTGGGTGACAGAGGGAGACACTGTCTCAAAACAAAAACCCAAAAAACTTTATTTCAAATAAAACACAATATAGATACATGGTTAAAGCAAAATGTACAGATACATAACCAGCATTAGAATTGAATGGAAATATTACCACAATGGAATCAGTGCCAACCCCCTAGAAGTCCCCATCATGCCTCTTTCTAATCTCTGTTTCCATCCCCATCCCCCACCAAAAGTAATCATTATCTTGACTTTTATGGTATTCATTGACTTGTTTTTCTTTATAGTTTTACCCCTAGGCATTCCTCCCTAAGCAATGTAATTCAGCTTTGTCTGGTTTTAAACTTGATATAAATAGATTCATATGGTATATATATTTTTGCCTGGCTTCCTCTGCTCAATATTATATCTGTAAGATTGATCTATGTTGATGAGGTCAACAATAGTTTGATCATTCTAATTGTATATAGGATTCCATTGTGTGAATGTACCACAATTTTCTTATCCATTCTACAATTGAACATTTGAGTTGTTTCCAGTTTGAGGTTGTTATGAATAATTTTGCTATAAATATACATGACTCCCAGTGCATACACACATAATTCAATGAGTATATACTTGGAAATTGAATTGCTGAGTCATAGGGTAAACATATCTCCAACTTTAATAAAGTTAAATTGTTTTCCAAAGTAGTTGTGCCAATTTAAATTCCCTTCAACAGCGTATGAGAATTCCTGTTGCTCCACGTCTTCACCATTACTTACTGTCATCAGTTGTATAATTTAGCCTATCTGGTGGATGCATAGTGTTATTCACATTGTGGTTTAATTTGCACAAATTTAATTTAATTTGATTCCTGTTGAGGTTGAGCATCCTTCTATTTATTGGTCTCTTGAATATCATCTTTTATAAAAATCTTTGTCTCTTTCCATTACATTGTTTACTCTCTTGTTTTGTTTTTTGTTTTGTTTTTGTTTTGTTTTGTTTTTGAAATGGAGTCTCATTCTGTTGCCCAGGCTGGAGTGCAGTGGCGTGATCTCAGCTTGCTGCAACTTCTGCCTCCCAGGTTCAAGCAATTATCGTGTCTCAGCCTCCCAAGTAGCTGGGACTATAGGTGCATGCCACCAAGCCCAGCTAATTTTTTGTATTTTTAGTAGAGACAGGGTTTCACCATGTTGGCCAGGCTGGTCTCAAACTTCTGTCCTCAAGTGATCTGCCCTCTTCGGCCTCCCAAAGTGCTGGGATTACAGGTGTGAGCCACCACACCCAGCCCCTACTCTCTTATTGTTTAAGATGTTTTCTTTTTCTTCTCTTCTCTTTTCTTCTCTTCTCTTCTCTTCTCTTCTCTTTTCTTTTTGAGATGAAGTCTCGCTCTTGTCTCCCAGGCTGGAGTGCAATGGCACGATCTTGGCTCACTGCAACCTCTGCCTCCTGGATTCAAGCGATTCTCCTGCCTCAGCCTCCTGAGTAGCTGGGATTACAGGTGCCTGCCACCACGCCTGGCTAATTTTTGTATTTTTAGTAGAGACAGGGTTTCAGCATGTTGGCCAGGCTGCTCTTGAACTCCACCTCAGGTGATCCGCCCACCTCGGCCTCCCAAAGTGCTGGGATTACAGGCGTGAGCCACCGTGCCTGGCGTTAGGATGTCTTTTTATGCTCTGGATACTGGCCCCTTTGTCTGTGGCTTGCCTTTTCATTTTCAAAAATGATGTTTTTTAATGCACAGAAATTATTAATTTTAATGTGGTTAAAATTATCAATCTTTTTCTTTATACATGATGTTTTTAGTGAGCTGCTTAAGTTACTTTATATTAACCTCATGAAAATATCCTTCTATATTGTCTCTTGGGCCTTTAATTATTTTGCATTTAACTTTTGATTATGAATCCTCCTGGAACTTGATTTTTGTGTGTATAATGTGAAGTAGGGGTTATTTCATTTGTTTTTATATGGTACCGTCTGTGCCGATACCACTTACTGAAAAGACTGTTCCCTGTTACTCCACTGCCTTGTCCTTCTTAAAAAAAAAAAAAAAATTATTTTGGAAACTTTAAACATATGTAAAAGTAAACAGAAGAGTGAAATGAATCCTTGTGTACCAGTCACCTCACTTCAGTACTTATCAAATAATGGCCAGTCTTTACCCTTACCCGTTCCTCTTTCCCATAATATTTTGAAGGATATCCTGACACAATTTCATCTCTAAATATTACAATGTGAATCTCTCTAACATAAGGGCATATTTAAACATAACCTCAATACCATTATCACACCTAAAATATCCAACAATTCCTTGATATCAGCAAAATCCAGTGTTTAAATCTCCAGTTGTCTCATAAACTTTTAATAATTTGTTTAAATCAGGTTCAAAACGAAGTCCACATATTGTACTTATTTATTTGTTTATTTATTTATTTAGAGACAGGGTCTCATTCTGTCACCCAGGCTGGAGTGCATTGGCGCAATCACAATCAATGCAGCCTTGACCTCCCAGACTCAAGTGATCCTCTCAGATCAGCCTCCCAAGTAGCTGGGACTACAAGTGTGTACCACACGCCCAGCTAATTTTTAAATTTTGTGTATAGACAGGGTCTCACTGTGTTGCCAGGGCTGGTCTCCAACTCCTGGGCTGAAGAGTTCCTCCTGCCTCGACTTTCCAATGTTCTGGGATTACAGGTGTGAGCCATTGTGCCTGGCCCCACACATCGTATTTAGTTGATATGTTTTTAGTCTCTTTTAATCTATTGGTATGCATGTCATCATTCTTCTATTTGCAATTTATTTTTTGTTGTGTTGATTGGCTAACTTTTAAATGGGCTAAAACTTTGAGTAAATTTTGTTTAAAACTATTCTCATTGCCTGTATTTGTCTGTGAATGTCTCTGGTTGAACTTGCCTGGCTCCTTTATTTCATAGGTGCTGATAGTTGATCTCTGTGCAGACAAGTTCTTACAGGAGGTGAGTGCCAAAGGAGGTAATTACTAATGTTTTAGGATAAATGTCTACTGTAGATAATTGGACAGACAATATGTGAAAGTACTTAGAGAATATGACTCAGGCAAAACTTTAGTTCCTACACATACTTGAGTTGACACCATGGCCAATCAAGCAAGATCGACCTGAAAAATTTGGCTTCAGTTTATAGCTGCCTATCCCAAAGGAAGGAGGAAACATAAATGTGTCATTCTCAAAAGAGGTAAAACCACCCTTCAACTCCAGGTGGGTCGACACATAAGCCTCTAATTTAATTACATTTTAAAAGCATTTATTAAGCACTGATTGTTTCTAGATACTCTGTTAGAATGTAAAAATGAGTAAGACACAGTTTGAACCCTTAGGTCTTACAGACTAATGCGGAGAAACAGACATACATAAAGTTTTAGAAATTGTATAATAGAAATTTGTACAAGGTACAGTAGGAGCAAGAATGAAGTGCCCATTTATTCTTAATACTGAAGTGGAAAGGAAGAGTTCAAAAGCCTTCTTAGATCAGCCCTCCAGATATAACCTGTGTGTCGGAGTGTGAGCTCTGAAACACAGGGTGAAAAGAAGAGTGTTTCCCAGGACATTTTCAGAATGGATTAGCTCATCACGTTTGAAATACAATTTATTTGTGGATGATCTTCATAATATAATAGAAGACTTGTAGATGAGAGAGATCTGGTGGAAAAGTGCCAGAAAATTTTATAAAGTATATTGTTTATTTGTTTAATATAGTTAAAATATATACACCATAAACATGAAAGATTCTTCATGTAGGGAAGGAGACTTCAGACTGACTCTTTAGCCAAAATATATAAAGTCACTTGTGGAATTTTGGAGAAATAACTAGGGCATATTTGAGACTTAATCCCTCAAATCTCCTACAAAGAAAAATCTCCATTTTTTTTTCCTTAAGGTATCTGATGAGGATGAAATTCTACCACCAAAACTTCAAGCTGCCCTGATGCAGATTTTGGAAGAACGAAATGAAATCTTGACTCAGGAGCAGAATTTTTCACAAGGTATGAGACAAGTGAGCCAAGGACTTAAGGATTAAGATAGTAAATATTTACTGAATGCCCAGCACTATGTTAAAGGATATACCAAAGTAGCATTAGATTGCCTGTGCCTTGAAAATCTTATAATCAGCTTCCTTGCTTATCCTCAATATGCCAGGTCCTCTTCTATTTCAGGACCTTTGCACTTGCTCAGTTACATTTATAGAATGCTATTCCCGCAGATATCCACATGACTCCTGCCCTTTCTTCCTGTAGGTCCATGCTCACGTCACCTTCTCACTGAGGCCTTTCCTGACTGTCCTATTTTAAATTGTACCCATTCCTGGCCGGGCGCGGTGGCTCAAGCCTGTAATCCCAGCACTTTGGGAGGCCGAGGTGGGTGGATCACGAGGTCAGGAGATCGAGACTATCCTGGCTAACATGGTGAAACCCCGTCTCTACTAAAAATACAAAAAACTAGCCGGGCGTGGTGGCGGGCGCCTGTAGTCTCAGCTACTTGGGAGGCTGAGGCGGGAGAATGGCGTGAACCCGGGAGGCGGAGCTTGCAGTGAGCCGAGATCACGCCACTGCACTCCAGCCTGGGAGCACAGCGAGACTCCGTCTCAAAAAAAAAAAAATAAAAAATAAAAAAAATAAATTGTACCCATTCCCCTAGTGCTCCTTATCCTCTTCCCCTTGCTTTAATTTTCTTCAAGGCTCTTAGCACTATTTCATATGCTACAGCATAAGTTCTGTGAGAACAGTGGCTTTATTTTGTTCTCTATCTCCAGTACTTTGAACAGTATTCAGTAAGTAGGTACTCAATAAATACTTGTTAAATAAATGGGCAAATAATATTTATTGGGTGCTTACACTGTATCAGGCATTATGCTAAGCACTTAACATACATTTTGTTTTATCTTTATGAAGCAGGTATCATTATTTAATCCTCATTTTACAGATGAGAAAACTAAGGCTATGTACTGACAAGGAATATTAGGGAAGGAGCAGGGCTTTTTTTGTTTGTTTTGGGTTTTTTTCTTTTTTTGTTTTTTGTTTCTTGCTGTGTCACCCAGGCTGGAGTGCAGTGATGCAATTATAGCTCACCACAGCCTCAACCTCCTGGGCTCAAGCAAGTCTCCTGCCTCAACTGGGACTACAGGCATGCACCACCACACCTAGCTAATCTTTTTATTTTTTGTAGAGACAGGGTCTCACCATGTTGCCTAGGTTGATTTTAAACTCCTGATCTCAAGCAATCCTCCCGCCTTAGCCTCACAAAGCACTGGGATTACAGTTGTGAGCCACCACACCTGGCCTAGAAGGAGCAGATTTAGAGGAGTAATAAAAAGTTTAGTTTTGGATGTTACAGTTTGAGATACCTATTAGAAGTTTAATACTTAAGCAGACATCCAACTAGAAATGTTTTAGAAGAAAGATTTGGGCTAAAAGCAAACATTTAGAAATTGCTGTTATAAAGCTGTGGGACCAGATGAGATGATCGTATAGAGTGAGTATTGTTAGAAAATAACAAAGGTTTAAGGATTGAGCCCTCTGTTGGTTGTAAATGGCGTGGTTAGATTTCCAACACTTGGAGGTTGGAAGGAGGAGAACTATCCAGCAAGGGAGACTAAGAGGAGCAGCCAGTAAAGGAGAAAAACCAGGAAAGTATGTGTGTAAACTGCCAGGAGTGTGGGCAGGTACAGTGGCTCACACCTGTAATCCCAGCACTTTGGGAGGCCAAGGCAGGAGATTGCTTCAACCTAGGAATTCCAAACTAGCCTGGGCAACATAATGAGACCTCATCTCTACAAAAAGTGAAAAGAAAAATAAAAAACAAACAGGAGTGTGACATTGCAGAAGTTGAGCAAATAGAATACTTCATGAAAAGAAGAGTAATCAGTTATGCCTACAGCTGCAAAGAGACCAAGTATGGTGGGACTAAGATTTGACCAGTGGATTTGACAGTATGAAGACCTTGATAACAGCAGATTCAGTGGAATGAGGGGAAGAAAGTGAGATGGGAGAGGGTTCAAGAGAGAATTAGAATTCCATTCAGCCTATTGATTGTAAAATTTATTATTTTTTATTTTTATTTTTATTTTTGAGACAGGGTCTTGCTTTGTTACCCAGGTTGGAGTGCAGTGGTGCAATCATGGTTCACTGCAGCTTTGACCTCCTGAGCACAAGCAATCCTCCCACCTCAGCCCACCATGTAGCTGGGCCAACAGGTGTGCCCCATCACACCTGGCTAGTTTTTTGTATTTTTTGTAGAGACAGGGTTTCACAATGTTGCCCAGGCTGATCTTGAACTCCTGAGCTCAAGCAATTCACCCACCTCGGCCTCCCAAAGCCGTGGGATTACATGGGTGAGCCATTGCGCCCAACCATAAAATTTAATTGGATGTAAAAAGGGCCAGGAACAGCCAAGGCACTCAAAAAAGAACAAGGTTGGAAGGCTTGCACTACTAGACATCAAAATTTATTATAAAGATAGTAATTAAGATAGTTTGGTTTTGGTGCAGAAATAGAGCAACAGAAGGAATACAGAGTGCGTATGCATAAGGAAACTTGATTTGTGTCAGTGCCAGCGTTGTGTATCAGTGGAAAAAGGATGGATCATTTAATGATCCATGGGCTGGGCACGGTGGCTCGTACCTGTAATCCCAGTACTTTGGGAGGCGGAGGTGGGCAGATCACTTGAGGTCAGCAGTTTGAGACCAGCCTGACCAACACGTCTCTACTAAAAATACAAAAATTAGCCAGGTGTGGTGGTGCACACCTTTAATCCCAGCTACTCAGTATGCTGAGGCAGGAGAATCACTTGAACCCAGGAGGTGGAGGTTGCAGTGAGCCAAGATTGTGCCACTGCACTCCTGCCTGGGTGAGAGAGTAAGACCCTGTCTAAAATAATAATAATAAATAGGACAATTGGTCTTCTATATGAAAAGAAATGAATGTGGATGTACACCTCATACTATACAGAAAATTAATTCCAGTGAATTTAAAGACTTAAATGTTAAAAGCAAAGCTTTTGAAAATATTTTTGAAAGAATAGAAGAAAATTATTTATGTCAATAACACAGTGGTGGGGTTCTTAAAAACATGGCACAAAGAGCAGAGACCATAAAGGAAAAGATAGATTAATTTGACTGTGTTAAATCTTTAAATTTTCTTTTCATCAAGGGACACCATGGAAAAGAGATCTTAAAAACTAGTTACAGACTAGGTGAAGACATCTTCAACATATGTAGCTACCAAATGAATAGTGTCTAGAATTAATTTTTTTAAAAAACACCTGCAAATCAGTAAGAAAAAGATAAACAATCCAATAGAAAAATGAGAAAAAGACAGGAACAAACATTCAAAAAAGAAGAAACATGATAAGCATATAAGTAATTGAAGAGACATGCAACCTCACTACATCATTTACATTCAGGGAAGTGTAAATGTAAGCCACAGTGCAATACCATTTTTTATACCCACCGTATTCACAAAAACTAAAAAATCTGTCCAGGCACTGTGATTCATACCTGTAATCCTAGCACTTTGGGAGGTCAAGGTGGGAGAATCACTTGAGCCCGGGAGTTCAAGACCAGCCTGTGTAACATAGAAAGACCCTGTTTCTACAAAAATAATTAAAACATTAGCCAGGAGTGTTGATGTGTGCCTGTAGTCCCAGCTACTCAGGAGGCTAGAGTGGAAGGATCACTTGAGCCTGGGAATTTGAAGCTGCAGTGAGCTGTGATGGTGCCACTTGCACTCTAGCCTGGGCAATAGAGCAAGACCCTGTCTCAAAAAAAAAAAATTTAAGTCTGACAATATCAAGTGTTGGTAAGAGTGTGTCAAGTAGTTCAACCACTTTGAAGTTGGCATTATCTAGTAATATTAAAGGTGTACATATCCTACAACCCAACAATGTAGTTTGTAATACCCTAGTGAATCTCTTGTACCTGATCACTGGGAAACAAGTTCATTAGTTTTCATAGTGCCAGTATATGTGATAGCAAAAACTAAGAACAATGTGAATATCTATTTTCAGGAGAATAAAGCTTTAATAATGAATTTTTTTTTGAGATAAGGTTTTATTTTGTCAACCAGGCTGGAGTGCAAGTGGTGTGATCATGGCCCACTGCAGCCTTGACCCCCTATGCTCAAGCAATCCTCTGTCCTCAGCCTCCTGAGTAACTGGGACCACAGGCCTGTGCCACCACACTCAGCTAATTCTTAAATTTTTTGTAGAGATGGAGTCTATCTTGCCCAGCCTGGTCCTAAGCTCCTGGGCTCAGGTGAGCTGCCTGCCTCAGTCTCCTAAGTGTTGGGATTACAGGCATGAGCCATTTTAGCTGCACCCAGTTAAAAATGATTCTTAAAAACATATATTGAATAAAACAGTAAGTTGAAGAAGACTACAATATTTTGTATACCGTTCAAAGACATACAAAACCTAATAATATGCTATTGGGGTTTTATATGTGTATAGTGAAACTATAATGCAGAGCAAGGGAATAATAAATCCAAAATTCCATGGTCACTCTATTGGAAAGTAGGAGAAGAATGCCATTAGAGAGAGTCACACAGGAAACTTCAAAGATATTAGTAATGTTCTGTTTGTAAGCTTTGTTTGTGGTAGAGAATTTATTCATTTCATTGTTGATCTTATAAAATACTCATACATATCAAAGAATATGTAAAGTATATACATTAAAAAGGAAAGAATAAAGAAATTATAGAAAAACATAATTTTTAAAAGAAAATAAGACATAACAGTGAGGCAAAAGTGTTGAAGATAAATGCAGTGTTGGGGCTGGGTGTGGTGGCTCATACCTGTGATCTCAAGCACTTTGGGAGGTCAAGGCAGGATAAGTTCAATACCAGCCTGAGCAACATAGCGAGACCCCATCTCTACAAAAAAAAAAATTAATTAAAAAAAAGAAAGATAAATGCAGTGATGGACACGGATTCTCAGCTGCAGAAGGAAAGAGATGAGAAGGAAGGGAGTTGGACAAAATATAGCAAAACCCTAGATTAGAGTCAAAGTGTAATTCAGAAAGAGACCTTGGAAATCACCTGGTCAGCCCTGCTGGCTGCCCAGATGTGGACAGGCCAACTGAGAAAAGTGAGCCACCCACTATTATGCAACTGCTTTATGGTAGAACCCTGACTAAACTTAGGTCCCTGATTCCCATCCTGAGTGGATCCCTGGGAAAAGAGCAACAGACAGTGTGAAGGGTCGCGGGGGGGAAGACTATTTGGATATGGAAGAAAAAGAGGGAGTATAAGTTGAATCTGAAGTTTGAGCCTGGAACCTGGAAGGCAATATAATGTAGTGTATTATAGGGATTAAAAATCACCTGACTTGCGAGTACAGCATCTTCACTTACTAGATGGGATGACCCTAGAGAATTTATTTAATCATTTGGCATCTCAGTTTCCTCTGTAAAAGAAAAAAATAATAATAGATTATTATGTTTGTAAAAGCACTTAATACAGTGCAACTTCAGCCCTCAAATCACTATTTTTATGGAATAATTATAGTGTAGTATGAAATGGCAATGTCACCGAGGCATGGTGGCTCACATCTGTAATCCCAGCATTTTGGAATGCTGAGGTGGGAGAATTGCTTGAGCCCAGGAGTTTGAGACCAGCGCCTGGGCAACATAGCAAGACCCTGTCTGTATTTTAGGAAAAAAAAATCTTTATTTAAAAAAGTGGGACTATTGAGAGGGAAACTGATTTGGTGGGGAAATATAATGGATTTGGCTCTAGATATGTATTGTTTGTTTAATTGATTCATAGTCCAAGTTCCAAAAAGAACCTGATATAGTGACCTTTAGACAGATGGAACTTATGTGCTAATGGGACAGCCAAATGATAACCACCCATAGGTAGCCTGAAAATGTAGAAGGTGAGATCACAGGGCTGGAAAACTAAGGTTTGGAATTACAGTATTATCATAGCCAGCTCTATCTCTGTGCCAATTAGCCCTTTAAGGAAGGAGTGTTGAAGAAGAGTGTCTGAGCACCATGCTCAGGAAGAGAAAGAAAGGACAAGAGAAAAATAACTGCTTTGTCATCAAGTCAGGAAGGGAACCAGGAAATCAGAAGAGCATAGAGTTGTGGGGGACAAAAGAACTGAGGAGGTAGTCAGCACAAATGCAACATGGAGCTTAAAGGAGATAAAAATAGAAGAGCAGATTAAATTTGGCTGGCTCTCACCAGTGGCCTTTGAAAGAGCAGTTACAATGAAATCAACAGATGTGCAAGCCAGTTTGCAAGATGTAGAAGGAGTATGTATGGAAAGAAAATGAAGGTAAGGGTAGAATCAATTAGCCTTTTCTAGGTCATGGAGAAAGAAAGTGAAGAATGAACACTCCTAGATTTATTCTCAGTCCTTTGATCTATAACTTCTTAGGCATGACTTCCATAACCAGAGCCAGCGTTTACAGATACAGATAACTGAGGAGATTTTTTCTTTTTTTTTTTCATGTTGCAGCAGATGTGACACTCAACTCTCTGGTGTCTGAAGCATTTGTCAGGTTTTTTGTGGAGTTGGTAGGACATTATTCTTTGAACATGACTGTCACGGAGCGTGGGGAGCGTGTTTTCCAAAGGGAACCATTCCGTAAGTCTCACACCTCCCGAAGTGTACGCCACTTCCTGGATCTCTTCATGGAGACTCAGATGTTTGCAGGATTCATCCAGGACCGAGAGCTCCGGAAAAGTGGAGTTAAAGGTCGGTTTCATTATTAAGTTCTCCCTCTCTATTTAGTGAATACCTTGAAAGATTTTACTATATTATGAATAAAAAGTATTGTAAAGCAACAAGGACTCAAAATCCGAGTTGTTTATTATGAGAATTGTTTATTTTGTAATATTGTTTTAGCCCTGGAAATAATACACTGGTAATGAGCACAGAGTTTTATGTAATTCCCAGTCTGGAGTGTTAGACAGTTTCACCAACATGAGTTTTTCCTTGTAGGTTTGTTTGAGGTCCGGGCCATCCAGTATTTGGAAACAATTCCTGAGTCAGAGCCCAGTGGGATGAATAGAATTTTGCGGAGTCTTGGTAAGTTGCTGTGTTTTCTTGTTAGATAAATGTTGCTGAAGACCAGGCGCAGTGGCTCATACCTGTAATTCTAGCACTTTACGAGGTCAAGTAAGGAGGTTTGCTTCAGGCCAGGAGTTTGAGACCAGCATGGGCAACATAGTGAGACCCCATCTCTACACAAAATTTTAAAATTAGCTGGACATGGCTTGGCATGGTGGCTCACGCCTGTAATCCCAGCACTTTGGGAGGCTGAGGCAGGTTGATCACCTGAGGTTAGGAGTTCGAGACTAGCTAGCCTGTCCAACATGGTGAAACCCTGTCTCTACGAAAAATACAAAAATTAGCCTGGCTTAGTGGCAGGCACCTGTAATGCCAGCTACTTGGGAGGCTGAGGCAGGAGAATTGCTTGAACCCAGGAGACAGAGGTTATAGTGAGCAGAGATCACACCATTGCACTGCAGCCTGGGCGACAAGAGCAAAACTCTCTCTCAAAAAAAAAAAAAAAAAAAAAGGCATGCTGGCACACGCCTATAGTTCTAGCTACGTAGGAGGTTGAGGCCTGAGGGGGATTGCTGGAGCCCGGGAGTTTGAGGCCTCGGTAAGACGATCTTGCCGCAGACGACAGAGTGAGATTCTTGTCTCTGAAAAAAATAAATAAAAATTTAAAAAATAATAAATAAAAATAAATAATAAATGTGGCTGAAAAAGCTTTGCGGTAAGTGGGCCTCATCACAAAAGCTTTATAATCAGATCAGTAATATAGCCTTAAATAGGCTGACCGTAAACCATGATGCTAATTTCAAAGTGTTTTGGAGAAAAAGAAGCATTTTTCTCAAAATTTGGGATCCCTCATCAGAGTGGTCTGTGGGGCCATTTCCCAGAGATGAACCTCTCTGATAGAAGTTTGTTTATTTCATGATATGTTTGTATATCATGATTATTAATCTTTTCTAGGACACATTCCTTGGAGAATCTTATAAAAACTGTGGTCCTTTTTCCCAGAAAAATATATTTACAGCATATAAATAAATTTTGCATATAATTTTAGGCTGCTCATGTACCCCATGAAGTCTATCCTTGGTACTCCAGATTAAAAACACCTGGTTTAGAGGGACTTCTGAGGCAAAAGAGGATTTCTTACAAGTCTTTAATTTTCTACTTCGTAAACACATTTATGATTTTTCAATAATAGTTAATTATCTAGTATGATATAAGAGAACAGGGGTGTGGCTAGCCTAAAATAATGAATAACCTATATTCTATGATACTTATATTTTGTCTTTGAAATATATGCCCCCTAATTAGGCCCTGTCCTTCACTAGTTGACAGACCATGGACATATTAGGCCTTAGGCTGTTATTTCATCTTTATACTGTGGGGTTAGATTAGATCAGTGGTTCCCAGCTCTGACTACATTTTATAATCTCCAGAGAACTTTAAAAATTTTTCCCCTGGGCTCCAGGAAATCTCTGGGGAGAAGCCAGGTGATTTTAACCTATAGTCAAGGTTGAAAACCACCGGATTACATGGTGTCTGAGTTCTTTTTGACCTCTGCAATTAATTAGACACATGGGGTTTGGGGTTCGTTTTGGTTTTGGTTTTGGTGGTTAAACACATCAACTGAGTTTGAGATGTCAGCTTAACTCTTGGGCTGTTCTGAATGACTGACTGGTTAACCCCCTTGCCTCAAATAATGTACAATAAATAAAAATGAATTGAGAGTTCACTGTCCTTTTCTTTCCCTTTAGGAAGCAAAATGAAATTTCTGCAGAAGAAATGAAACCTCTGATTGTCTCCATCCTGAATATACAACAGAAAGTGCCAAAGAAAATATTTTTCCAAGGGTCAGGATCCCATGAAGTATTCTACAAAATTCTTGAAATTTTAAAAGGTTAAAGAGCGAGTCAGGCTGTCGGAGGAGGAGTCTCCTGTTGCTGCTGTAGTAATTACTGGAGAATTGTTGGGAATGGTCTGGAACCAATGCCATCTTTACTCTGTCTCCATTTTTTTTTTTTTTTTTTTTTTAATAGCAGCCTTTTCTATGTAATTCTTGGGCTCATTCTCTGTTTTGTGCTTCATCTATGAAAGTAGTTGTCTTTCACAAGGAAAAGCCTTGTTGTTACATTTTAAAAAATAGCTCAAAGATGAGAATAAGGAGAGAAATGCTGAGTTTAACCTAGTAGAGAGACACGATGGAAATGGAGAACGCAGGCCTTATACGCGTAATTCTCATCACTGAACTATCATGGCAGCTTTAAATCCATGGGCTGTTTGACCTGGGCAAAGGAATAGACTCATCACATATCTCCATTATTTTGCCTTATATTGTATCTAGGGGAATCTCAGGAGGAAGCCCTACTTGTAATATTATAAAGTACTGTTATTAAGTACTTTATAAAATTAGACATCTTGCAACTCCTCCTCCAAATTGTGTAGCATTTGAGTAGCTTGCTTGTCCCTCACATGTCAACATTAAACTTTGTGGAGGCTGGATCCAGTGGCTCACGCTTGTAATCTCCACCACTTTGGGAGGCTAAGGCAGGAGTTTGAGGGTAGGAGTTTGAGACCAGCCTGGGCAACATAGCAAGATCCTATCTCTACAAAAACATTTTAAAAATAAGTAAATAAATTTAAACTTTGTGGAATTATAACTATTATGAAAATGTCCTCTCAAGGGCATGGGAGCCACCTTTATTTTTTAGTGTCCACCATGTGCCATACACTGTGGTATATGTATGCATATCATCTCAACCAATCCTTAAATCAACCTTATGAGATAGCTATTTACATCTCCATTTTACTAATAAAGAAACTAAGGCCGGGTGCTGTTACTCATGTCTGTAATCCCAGCACTATGGGAGGCCAAGGCAGGTGGATCATTTGAGGTCAGGGGTTCGAGACCAGCCTGGCCAACACGGTGAAACCCTCTCTCTACTAAAAATAAAATAAAAATAAAAATTAGCTGGGCGTGGTGGCAGGTGCCTGTAATCCCGGCTACTCGGGAGGCTGAGTCACAAGAATTGCTTGAGCCCAGGAGGTGGAGGTTGCAGTGAGTGGAGATCGCACCACTGCACTCCAGTCAGGGTGACAGAGTAAGACTCCATCTCAAAAAAAAAAACAAAAAAACACAAATTCAAAGAAGTTAAATAAGTTGTGCCCAAAGTTATACAACACAGAACTGAAGCCAGGACTTTTATGGACACAAAGTTGGTTAGTCCTCCAGATGGAAATTTCATCTCAGTAGAATTATATAGCTATTTATTTTATTAATAAAAATTTTCTATTACGTGTACCAGAGCCACTTTTCAGCTCTGAGAATAAGGGACTTTATATATAGATGCCTAGATGAGATTCTTTTTATTCCCCTAGAAATGCTGAAATTTTTGCTCTAATTAAATTAGATTCAAAATATGAACATTCCTTGAACATATACCACTTAGTCATCCAGACCTTTAATATCTAAAGTAGTAGTAGTAGTGATTGGAAAGAGAAATTTTTCAGTGATGGTGCAATGTTGTGTGTGTGTGTGTGTATATGTGTGTGTGTGTGTGTGTGTATGTATGTGTTTTAAGACGGAGTTTCACTCTTTTTGCCCAGGCTGGAGTGCAATGGCACGATCTCGGCTCACTGAAACCTCTGCCTCCTGGGTTCAAGCAATTCTCCTGCCTCAGCCTCCCGTGTAGCTGGAATTATAGGTGCCCACCACCATACCTGGCTAATTTTGTATTTTTTGTAGAGACGGGGTTTCACCATGTTGGCCAGGCTAGTCTCGAACTCCTGACCTCAGGTGATCCACCCACCTTGGCCTCCCAAAGTGCTGGGATTACAGGCATGAGTCAGTGCACCAGGCCTGTTTGTTGGGGTTTTTTTTTTTTTTTTCCAAATTAATGGGCAAATTCAAGTTCAGATGGTGCACTTTTCATTTATTAATGTTATAGCAAATGTCAGTTTGTTTTCTTCAGTTTCTGCTGATGGTTTCAACTGGCACAGAAAGTATTTATTTAACCTTACAAAACTGTTAAGTTGTATTGTGATACAGTTTATTGACTTGTACAGTATTTCATTACAACCCATTCAGGTATGCATGAACCTGAAGCAGAACACCATTTAAGACTGGTGCTGTATAATATAATTCCTACAGATGTGGGTCCAGGGAATAGAACTGAGCCTTTTTTTAAATGTTAAGCAGGTTACCCTCATGGGGCTTCTACTAGACATCTCTCCATTTGGTCTCTTCTTACACTGCAACCCAGCGGGAACAGTTAATAATTGGATGTTTATAAAATGGGGGTAAAAGGGTTTACTATGATGGATCCTGGCTATCCCTTTAGGAGGAGACCTTTGCGCTTCAGGAATGCTGTCTTTATGTTTGCAGCCTGAAGCTGCTTCATTTCCTTAGGTCTGTTGTGTTTTGTTTCTGTAAAGTGTTATGAATTCTGGATATTTTTGTAAAAGAATCAAGATTTGTATAAAATGTTGTTTACAGATCTTTTAATGAATAAATACATAAAAACCCCACAGATCCCTTGGAGAATTCTTAAGATGTAAAGATCTTTTATGTCACTTAAATCTACAGCTAGCACATTTACCTAATGGTACTTAGGTAATAAGAATTAGTCTTAGATTGATCAGGCTTAATAATAGAGGTCAACATTTCGAGGCTCTTGGCAGACAAAGCCTGGGTCTAGACCGCACACTGGGCAGGGTATATAGTCTGACAACTTTATTTGGTCTTTAACTGCTTAATCAAAGGGAGGCTGCTTAGTCCAGGAGCCATGAAGAAGACAAAGTGCATGGGCAGCAGCTTGAATGGTTCGGAGACAGGAGTGCCATTCTATTACCGTTTAAGTCCTAAAGGCAAAATGACAGGATTTTTAAGGAACTGAGGTTCCTTTTGATACTCAGACCATAAAGCTTCACAATTTTAATTGGAGACTGGCGCTCAATTCTAGAGCCTCTTTAAGAATTGTACTTATCCAATGCAAAGGTTTTCAGGGTGGCGAGGGGGGAGGATAGTTGGGGTACAGCAAGGAAGTAAAAGAGGAACGACCCGGGGTGCAGTGGCTTACGCCTGTATTCCCCACATTTTAGGAGGCCTAGGCGAGAGGATAGCTTGAGGCCAGCCTTGACAACATAGGAAGGCTCCAACTCTACAAAAAAATTTTAAAATGGCCGGGCGCTGTGGCTCATGCCTATAATCCCAGCACTTTGGGAGGCCGAGGCGGGCGGATCACGAGGTCAGGAGATCGAGATCATCCTGGCTAACACGGTGAAAATACAAAAAATACAAAAAATTAGCCGGGCATGGAGGCGGACGCCTTGTAGTCCCAGCTACTAGGAGGCTAAGGCAGGAGAATGGCGTGAACGCAGAAGGCGGAGCTTGCAGTGAGCCGAGATCGCGCCACTGCACTCCAGCCTGGGCGACAGAGTGAGACTCCGTCTCGGAAAAAAAAAAAAAATTTTAAAAATTAGCCAGGCGTGGTGGTGTGCACCTCTAGGCCCAGCGGCTCAGGAGGCTGAGGTGGAAGGATCGCTTGGGCCTGGGGGGGTTGAGGCTGCAGTGAACTATGATCGCGCCACTGCACTCCAACCTGGGCAGCAGAACAAGACCGTGTGTGCACAATAAAAAAGGAAAGAAGTCCGGCACAGAGGAAGAGAAGATTAAGGGGAGACGGTGGCAGTAAGCAGAGGTGGGAAATCAGTTATCTCTCCCCGTCAAATCCTGCAGTCAGTTCCCTCCAAAAGTGTTAAGGGGCTCCCGTTCCAGATATCAATGTTTTGGAGGAAACGAAAAGCCCTAACTTCAAATCGCCACCATTCGCTGGCAAAAAAAATACAGTAAGCAGAAGACAGGAAATTCAGGCCTTCCGCTGACGCAGTGAAGCCAAGACTGACGTCACGTCCGCCCAAAAACAAAGCAGCCCGGCAATTTCTAGATACCGGGCGGACCCGCCTTCAAAATTAGCAACTGAGCATGCGCGAACGTCAATATGCAGGGAACGTGATTACATCAGTGTCAGGCGCCGGCGTATCTAAATAGAACTCAGTTTACGCAGACGCAGAAAATGCAGGCAAACCTGAGGTCCTCAGAATGGCGGGCACGGGTTTGGTGGCTGGAGAGGTTGTGGTGGATGCGCTGCCGTATTTTGATCAAGGTTATGAAGCCCCTGGTGTGCGGGAAGCGGTGAGTGCGGGGTGTCTTTGTAGCTGACTCACTGTTCGCTGGCTCGGTACCGAAAGAAACATGTTACAATTTGCCGCTTCTACCCTGGCCCCAATTCTCTTTCTAAGGCTGCAGCGCTGGTGGAGGAGGAAACTCGCAGATACCGACCTACTAAGAACTACCTGAGCTACCTAACAGCCCCGGATTATTCTGCCTTTGAAGTAAGTATGTCTTGAGCCCGGGTATGAACGAGGATTCCTGTGAACCTTTATTTTGGATTGAGAGCTTCAGCTACGTAAAAGTGATTTTTAAATTCCAGTTTTAACCATTGCCTGCATAGGTACCAGTCTGTTGAAAACAGCTAGCTAGATAAGTCTTCTCCGAGGTTCTTATTCTAAGATCCATAGGAAGACTTTCTGGGACTCCACGACTCACTTAATGCAAAAATTTGTGGCTACAATTCTTTGAGATAGGATCCACGCGTAAATTCTCAAAGGGACCCTCTCCTGCCAAGAGTCACTCTACAGCAGGTGATCTAGAATTTTTTAATATGTATAAGCCTAATTATCTAAGCTCTTTAGAACCACTGGAGAGTGGCGTATTAAAGTCTAGTTATTTACCAAACGTTTGTGGTATGACTGAAGGGACAAACCATATCCAAGTGTATACTACTCTTTTCTCAGCCTTCTCCTTTTTTCTATAATCTGTCCGATGTTTTTATTAACACATTTCTGATTAATGTAGGCAAGAACTTTCCCTGATACGAATACTTTCCAAGTGCTAAGTGCCATTCTAGATTCTGAAGTCATAGAGATAAAAATATGTGGGTTTTAAAAAAATATGTATTTTGCTTTATTTTAATTTTTCTTTATTTAAGACAAGCATCGTCTCCAAAAAAAGATAGGGTTTCTGAATACAGAAAAATACAATACAATGAGGAGCTAGATATATAAAACAGAAAGTTTACAATAGTATGTATAAATGTGTAATAATATGTAAAGGACCTGTAGTGGAGGTATATATAAGGACAAGAGGATTAGAGAAAGGAGTGCCCATGCTTGCCTAGGGAGTCAGATGCTGTTCTACTCCACACAGTGAGTATGATACTATTTTAAATGTATAACCTTGAAGTACACCCAAGATTCTAGTTAGGGTCTAATTAGCTAAGTGAAATGTAAGATATTTCTAAATTATTGGATTCAAGTATTTCAATATGTACAGCTTGGAGTTTTTTTCCCATTATACCTAATCGTTTATTTATGAAAGGATTGTATTATTAAAAGGCAGTATTTAGCTGGGTGTGGTGGCTCACACCTGTAATCCCAGCACTTTAGGAGGCTGAGGTGTGAGGATCACTTGAGACCAGCCTGTGCAGCATAGTGAGACCCTTTCTCTACAAAAGAAAAACTAAAACATTAGCCAAGCATGATGGCATGCACCTGTAGTCCCAGCCACTCAGGAGGCTGAGGTGGAAGGATCACTTGAGCCTGGAAGTTCAAGGCTGCTACAGTGAGCCATGATAATACCATTGCGCTCCAGCCTGGCAACAGACTGAGATCCTGTCTCAGAGGAAAAAAAAAAAAAAAGATATTATTTACATTAAAAGAACATGAAAAAATAGTTAAGTTTGTTGTTTTTGTTTGAGACAGAGTCTTACTCTGTCACCCAGGCTGGAGTGCAGTGGTGCCATTTCTGCTCACTGCAACCTCCACCTTCCGGGATCAAGTGATTCTCCTGCCTCAGCCTCGCGAGCAGCTAGGATTACAGGTGCCTGCCACCATGCCTGGCTAATTTTTGTATTTTCAGTAGAGATGGGGTTTCACCACGTTGGCCAGGCTGGTCTTGAACTTCTGGCCTCAAGTGATCCGCCCACCTCATCCTCCCAAAGTGTTGGGATGCAGGGTGAGCCACCACGCCCAGCCTTGGCTAAGTTTTAAGTAGAAGACATATGTTCCTATGAACGTGTTTTCCTATGCTTTTTCTAAATATTGTTACCTAGGTGTAGATGTTAACCACATTAAGAACTAAGTACAGTGGCTCACATCTGTAATCCCAGCACTTTGGGAGGCTGAGGCGAGTGGATCACAAGGTCAGGAGATTGAGACCATCCTGGCTGACAGGGTGAAACCCTGTGTCTACTAAAAATACAAAAAATTAACTGGGCATGGTGGCGGGTGCCTGTAGTCCCAGCTACTCAGGAGGCTGAGGCAGAAGAATGGCCTGAACCCGGGAGGCGGAGCTGGCAGTGAGCCAAGATGGCGCCACTGCACTCCAGCCTGGGCGACAGAGCGAGACTCCATCTCATTAAAAAAAAAAAAAGAGAGAGAGAACTAAGTACAGTAATGCTTCTTGGACTGATTTCTGACGTTTTCAAATAACTGCATTCAATCACAGGCTTCTTATAATACTTTTGCTAGTTTTTTCCTTCTCTCTTAAATACCTTTGTAATTAGTTTACTGATTATTTAATTAGCAAACTCCTGGGTTCAAATGATTCTCCTGTAATTAGTTTACTGATTATTTAATCCTTTCTTTTTTTGAGACAGAGTCTTGCTCTGTCGCCTAGGCTGGAGTGCATGCAACTCCTCGGCTCGCTGCAACCTCTGCCTCCTGGGTTCAAGCGATTCTCCTCCCCCAGCCTCCCAAGTAGCTGGGATTACAGGCATGCACTACCATGCCCAACTAATTTTTGTATTTTTAGTACAGACAGGGTTTCACCATTGTGGCCAGGCTGATCTCGAACTCCTGACCTCAAGTGATTCACCTGCCTCGGCCTCCCAAAATGCTGGGATTACAGGTGTGAGCCACCACACTTGGCATCCTTTCTTAGTAATAGTTGGTAATGTATACTGGGCTCACTGTCTTTCTTGGTGCACAAAACAGCTCTATAAACTATATAACTATGTTCACTATCCCCATTTTTTTAGCTGGGAAAACTGCAGCTTAGAAAGGCTCATTGACTAAGACCTTAACCATTCTTCAAACTGCCTCTGAAATTACTCTTTCATTAATTCACTTAACAACTATTTACGAAGGTCTATTCCATGCTGGATATTGGAGAAGAGTATCGGCAGGGTCCATACTTATGAACCTTACAATCTAGAGTGTTGAGATGGACAATAAATAGATCAGAAAAATTGTTGATAAATGCTGCACAGAGAATGATAGTGATAAAGTGACTGGGTGACTCTAGGTTGGGTGGTTGAGGAAGGCCTCTCAAAGCTGAGATGAGACTACTCCATGAGCAGGGATTTCCCCCACCGACCCCGCCGCCCATGACTTAGCTCCACGAACACTGGGTTAGTCTTTGGAGAGAGCTGAGCTAAAATTCCAGATCTATCACTTACTGAGCATGTGAGTTAGTTAAGGGTTCCTCCTGTGCTGTATGGCTTAAGACTACTTATACCACATTTTTATACTGCCTCTTGTTTAATTATTAGCTGTTACTCTCTGTCACTGCAGGATTTTCTAGCTAAAATGCCTTGGTATTTTTTGCAGGAAACTAGATAACTACATTTTCTTAAGATTGTGTGTAATTTAGCAGTAGCGCCTGCAAAATGCTTTCTCCAGAAAGAAATACTTAATACAAATTTTTTTTTTTTTTTTTTTTTTTTTAGATGGAGTCTCACTCTGTTGCCAGGCTGGAGTGCAGTGGCGCGATCTTGGATCACTGCAACCTCCGCCTCCCGGGTTCAAGAAGTTCTCCTGCCTCAGCCTCCCAAGTAGCTGGGATTACAAGCGCGTGCCATCATGACCAGCTAGTTTTTGTATTTTTAGTAGATACAAGGTTTCACCATCTTGGCCAGGATGGTCTCAATCTCTTGACCTCGTGATCCACCCGCCTCGGCCTCCCAAAGTGCTGGGATTACAGGCGTGAGCCACCTCGCCCGGCCTAATACAAAACTTTTAAACATTAATGCAGGCTTCTGTAAGGCCTTTGATACTTATTCTCTAGTCTAATTGTTAAGATAGTTGAAGCCCTCAGAAAATTAAAATTACATGGAATAACTGAAGTATTACTACAAACAAATATTTTAAGCAGTTCTTTATACTCAGGGTAGGAAATGTGCAGAACGGAAATGGGATAAGATATTGGCCAAAACATCCCTAAAGGGGAATAGCCATACTACATTTACTTGGCAAACAGTAAAATTGCTAGAGAAGATAGTGAATATAAAGAAAAGACACTTTGGGAGACTGAGGCGGGCAGATCACCTGAGGTCAGGAGTTCAAGACCAGCCTGGCCAACATGGTGAAACCCCATCTCTACTAAAAATACAAAAATTAGCCAGGCGTGGTGGCAGGCACCTGTAATCCCAGCTACTCGGGAGGATGAGGCAAGAGAATTGCTTGAACCTGGGAGGCAGAGGTTGCAGTGAGCCAAGATTGCGCCATTGCTCTCCAGCCTGGGGGACAAGAGTGAGACTTCATCGTGGAAAAAAAAAAAAAAAAAATTCTTAGATTTCTGGAGGCTGGAAAGTGTAAGTAAGGTTCACAGGCTGCATCTGGTGAGGGCGTTCTTGCTTATGTGTACTTGGTGTACAGTCCTGAAGCAGCACAGAGCATTACATGGCACGTAGGGGCACACAAGAGAAAGACAAACTGGCTTTTATAACATACCCACTCTGGTGATAACTCATTAATCCATGAATAGGTTGAGCCTTCATAACCCAATCACCTCTTAAAGACCCCACCTCTTAATACTATTACATTGGGGATTAAGTTTCCATATGAGTTTCAGAGGGGACAAACATTCAAACCATAGCACTGTCCAACTGATGGTAACATGCTTCTGGAATTGAGAACATCTGAGTTAGGATTAATCCTTTTCTCTGTGGGCTCCTTAATACATGCCACTTTTCCTGGCTAAGCTGAATGTGAAGTGACTGTGTGTGTTTGTGTGTGATTCTAGAGTGCATTTAACTCAGAGAAGAATTAGGGAAAGGGAAATGATTCATTATAATAGGTAGTGTAGCTTAAATCTATTCTTTGGTGATTGTTAATTTCAATTGTCAACATGATCTTAGAAATCTTTTTCTGATTTACACATCAGACTGACATAATGAGAAATGAATTTGAAAGACTGGCTGCTCGACAACCAATTGAATTGCTCAGTATGAAACGGTAAGAATATTAAAATGGAAATTAAAATTTAATTTGTAGTAACTCAGTAATGAGCTGAGATTTGTGAAGAATGTATTTGCTGGCTAATATTGGCAGTGTTGGCTGGGCGTGGTGGCTCACACCTGTAATTCCAGCACTTTGGGAGGCCGAGAATGGCGGATTGCTTGAATCCAGGAGTTTTGAGACCAGCCTGGACAACATGGCAAAACCCTATCTCTACCAAAATAATAATAATAATAATAAACAACGTACCTGGGTATGGTGGCACACACCCGTAGACCCAGCTACTTGGAAAGCTGAGGTAGGGAGATCGCTTGACATCCTCCAGGAGATGGAGGTTGCAGCAAGCCGAGATTGTACCACTGCACTCCAGCATGGGGAACAGAGGGAGACCCAGTCTTGAAAAAAAACTATATAGAGAGAGATATCTGTAGATACAGCTATAGATAGATAAAGATATATCTATGGATATAGATATAGATACAGAGATCTATAGATAGATATAGAGATGTAGATATAGATATATATCTATAGATATCTGTAGATATAGATCTATAGATATCTAGGGAGGCAGTGTTGAAGGACTGGGTAGTGTGAAGAGGGAATAGAAGGAGTCATATCACTTCTCATTTTTTTTCTCTACCGGGGAATGGGTATGTTAGTGGATGGGTGGGTGTGAGTATTTTACAAAAATGGTAGCAAAGGTTTTTGTCTACTACTTTTTCCCCTTAATATATTATTCACATCTTAATATTATTAAATGTTCTTCAGTGACATCATTTAATAGCTAATATAACAATCTTTTATGTGAATGTAATGTTGCTTATTTAACCAGTTCACATTGAAGTGAACATAACGGTGCTAAATCATATTTGTAAATTGATTGTTAGGCTGTATCAGTTTCTTATTATTGCAAGGTTTACATCCTCAGTCTTCTGTAGTTTTTATACTATATGGAGACTCATGGGACATTCTGTTGGGAAGAGATGTAAAGGCTTGACAGTACAGATGGTTTTATTTTGTTGTTTAATTTCAGATATGAGCTTCCAGCCCCTTCCTCTGGTCAAAAAAATGACATTACTGCATGGCAAGAATGTGTAAACAATTCTATGGCCCAGTTAGAGCATCAAGCAGTTAGAATTGAGAATCTGGAACTAATGTCACAGCATGGATGTAATGCCTGGAAAGTATACAATGAGTAAGAACCTTTTTTTTTTCCTTTTCTTTCCATCTCACCCAAAGTTTTAGTACTTTTTAAAAGTATGGGAGGTTCTGGGTGCAGTGGCTCACGCCAGTAATCCCAGCCTTTTGGGAGGCAGAGGCAGGTGGATTGCTTGAGGTCAGGAGTTCGAGACCAGCCTGGCCAACATGGTGAAACCCCATTTCTACAAACACACACACACACACCCCCACACCCCCAAAATTAGCTGGGCATGGTAACGCGCGCCTGTAATCCCAGCTACTCTGGAGGCTGAGGCATGAGAATTGCTTGAGCCTGGGAGGCAGAGGTTGCACTGAGCCAAGATTGTGCCACTGCACTCCAGCCTAGGCGACAGAGTGAGACTCTATCTCAAAAAAAAAAAAAAGCTGGGTGCGGTGGATTACGCCTATAATCCCAGCACTTCAGGAGGCCGAGGCGATCACCTGAGGTCAGGAGTTTGAGACTAGCCTGGCCAACATGGTAAAACCGCATCTCTACTTAAAATAAAAAAAAAAAAAAAGATTAGCCAGCCATGGTGGCGCTTCTGTAGTCACAGCTACTCAGGAGTCTGGGGCAGGAGAACTGCTTGAACCCGGGAGGCAGAGGTTGCAGTGAGCTGAGATTGCACTAGTGCACTCCAGCCAGGGTGACAAAGCGAGACTCCCTCAAAAAACAAACAAAAAAACCCCCACAAAGTATGGGTAGGGGAAGTGGGATAAAAATAATACAGCTAGACTTTTTCTTGGGATTATGTTCTAGAACTACGACCCATATGAAAGGCCACTATTTTGAAACCCACCCCAAAGTTCAAGAGTACTAAGAGGACCTAAACCAAACTACCACATTTAATGTATAATATTGTAAGAAAACGAGTTCTGAGGTCCCATTTGCAGAGCACCACTTGATAGAATGTTATCAAGTTTGCTTAAACAGTTGATTCTCATTAGTCATGCATTATGTTCTTTAAGTCCTGTGGACACTGAATTAGCAAATACTGTACCATTTCTCCTAGGGGGAATATATACATATTCATGTGCACACATATACATATCTCTCACACAGATTATAATCTTAAATCCTAGAATAAACTCATCCTGGTAGACTTCTGACTTTATTCTATAAAAGAGAAAACAAAGTTGAGAAATGTAAAGTAACTTTCTTGAAACTACCCCACTAACAGATCCCAGACTTAGAACTTGAACTTCATCGTCTGCTTATTACTGTATGAGAGCTGAAACAAGAAGGCAAAGTACCTCCTTGTTCATCCTCAGCTGCGAATGTGCATGCTCAGCAGCCCGGATTTTTCACTGCTGTGCACATGTCCATGAATGACTGCAAAACACTACAAGTAGTAATTTTGAGATTATAGATAAATTTGAGCAAGTATTTGTTGTCAAAACAAGCCACTAACCTGTTTCTGTTCCATGTAACTAGCTGTAGCTTTAGTATTTATTGTCTATCTAGAATTCAGATTCCTTGCTTGCAAAATTCGGTGGTTAGATTATCTGCATGGCCCCTTTGTGCCCTGAGATTTCCTGATTGTGTATTTACAATTTAAGAGAAAAAGGCCACAGAACTTCATAATAGTGTGTACAACTTTTGTTAGAGTGTGTTTCCTGAAACATAGCTGTATAAAATAAAGCAAAACCATGAAATGATAATACTGTTTCTCAAATCTTCAGAATTATGCATTAAGTATTTGTAGCCACATAATGCCAGTGGACAAAATCCAGAATTTGGGAAACTCTACAAAGCCAACAACTAACCTTCTTTTATATGTCTATATATTGCAAGGGGGGAAAAAAAGAAAGAACGGGATCAGGGTGATTAAGAAATTTAGGTGACATCAGTAAATCTGTTTCACAAAATGGAAAACTGTGATTCTTCTCAAGAAGCTCTATCTAATGGAAGAGACAGTAAGTTTTTTTTTTTTTTTTTTTTTTTTTTTTTTTTTTTTTTTTGAGACGGAGTCTCGCTCTGCCGCCCAGGCTGGAGTGCAGTGGCCAGATCTCAGCTCACTGCAAGCTCCGCCTCCCGGGTTCACGCCATTCTCCTGCCTCAGCCTCCCAAGTAGTTGGGACTACAGGCGCCTGCCACCGCGCCCGGCTAGTTTTTTGTATTTTTTAGTAGAGACGGGGTTTCACCGTGTTAGCCAGGATGGTCTCGATCTCCTGACCTCGTGATCCGCCCGTCTCGGCCTCCCAAAGTGCTGGGATTACAGGCTTGAGCCACCAAGCCCGGCGAGACAGTAAGTTTTATGCCAAGTAACCAGTAGTCTATTTTTGGCAGTATGGGGGCAAGTGTTACATTGTGTGCTGTGGTCTGTAAGCTAAGCATTAAGAGATAGGGCATTGCCAGGTGTGGTGTTTCACACCTGTAATCCTAGTGCTTTGGGAGGCTGAAACAGGAGGATCACTTGAGGCCAAGAGTTTGAGACCAGCCTGGGCAACGTAGTGAAGCCCTGTCTCTACAGAAAACAATAAAAAGTAGCCAGGTATGGTGGTACACACCTATAGTCTGTTTGAAAAAAAAAAAAAAAAAGATGGGGCATAAAGTTGAGGGTTGTTGAAGAAGGGTGAAATTGGGATGTTTAGAAGGAAACAAGGAAAACATTCCAAGAATGGAGGGCATAGATGCAGAGGAAAAAATATGACATTGAAAAGAACACTGCTGTCAACTTACCTGAAAACCTTTAATAATTCCCTATTACCTGCAAGGTAAGGGCCAAGCTTTTTTTCTTTTTCTTTGGAGGTGAAGGCGGGGGTCGGGACAGAATCTTGCTCTGTCGCCCAAGCTAGAATGCAGTGCCACAATCTCAGCTCACTGCAACCCTCCCGGGTTCAAGCAACTCTTCTGCCTCAGCCTCCAGAGTAGGTGGGATTATAGATACACACCACCACGCCTGGCTGATTTTTGTATTTTTTGTAGAGACGGGGTTTCACCATATTGACCAGGCTGGTCTCAAGCTCCTGGCCTCAAGTGATCCTCCAGCATCACCCTCTCAAAGTGCTGGGATTGTAGGTGTGAGCACCTGACTGGGCCAGGCTTTTTAACAGGGTATTCAAGGCCTTTTCCTTACTCCCTCAACTGTAAACTTTTAACTCAACCCAAACTAGTCCTTTCTCTGGTGATTATCATAAATCCTGCCTCTGGGCCTTTACTTGCCCTTGACTTTACCTTTTCTACCCAAATTCAGCTTGTTTAGGGCCCAGCTCTAGTTCGCTTATTTGTCTTCTTCCCTGATTGAAATTCTGCTTCTAGTATTGTCTCCCTCTTCTGTGTAACTCTACACAGAATTACTGTGCACATCACTTGTTTTCCATTTAATCACAAAGTGCTCTATAGTGCTTAACATTCCCCTGAGCATATTTTGTCTCCTCCAAATTCAATGGACACTTCTCCAGAGGAGGTGTACTATATTTTATCAAAGTATATTTAAGAGGAAGGGTGAGAGAAGGGAGAAGACAAACTAAACTTTCAGGGAGAGCCAATTCAAAGGAAAGCTCCCTTGTTGGTGGGCAGAGTCTGGAATAGAGCACTAAGATCAATAGTCCTCAGCATGGAGTGATCGTCGAAGTCAAGGAAAGAGGGTTGACCTGAGGGAAAGCCTAGAGAGGCACAGCTGTTTAAAGACTGAGTCTTGAGAGAATTGCAACTAATGCAGGGAAACCAGTCAGTAGAGATAGGAGAGTAACTCAGGTGAGCAGCAGAAAATTTGAGTCACAAAAGCCAGGAAACAATATTAGATTTAGAGCAAGAACACATTAGGGCCAGATGTGGTTAAAATGGACCCTATAGGTGATTGATCCACTGCCTTAAGAGGAAACTGATATGATGTGGAATTATATCTCAATAAAGCTGTTATTTAAACTTAAAAAAGAGATTAAAATCTGTTTTATTACTTCTCTGAAATAATGATATGGTACTCTGTATTATTGAACTTTTCTCCTGTGCTAGTTACAGCTGACCTGGACTGGTATCTGTTTTTTATGTTGCTGTGCATAGGTTACATGCAAATATGGACTGGTATCTCAAATCTACAACAGTTTTCTTTTTCTCACCTCTCTCTAGCAGTGGACAGGAGGAGAGAATGACAGGATAAATGTATATGAAGAAATATAGAGATAAAAGGGGGTTGAGAAATAATAAGTGGATATACTCAGATATATTCCATCTTCTCTGTGACAAGAAGTCATGACAGTTTAAGAAGTGACAAAAGGCTGTGTGTGATGTCTCATGCATGTAATTCCAACACTTTGAAGGCCAAGGTGGGGAGACTGCTTGAGCCCAGGAGTTCAAGACCAGCCCGGACAACACGGTGAAACCCTGTCTCTACAAAAAAATAACAAAAATTAGCCGGGCATGGTGGCTTATGCCTGTAATCCGAACTACTTTGAAGGCCTGAAGTGGGAGGATCGATTGAGCCCAGGAGGTTGAGGCTGCCATGATTGTGCAGCTACACTCCAGCTTGGGCAACAGTAGAGCAAGACTCTGTCCAAAAAAAAAAGCTGGGTGCAGTGGCTCACACCTGTAATCCCAGCACTTTGGGAGACCGAGGTGGATGGATTGCTTGTGGTCAGGAGTTCAAGACCAGCCTGGCCAACGTAGTGAAACCCCATCTCTGCTAAAAAAAAAAAAAAAAAAAAAAAAAAAAATACAAAAATTAGGGCCAAGGCCATGGCCAGTGCAAACGGCCTGATAATCCGCCACGCCTACTTGGGACACTGAGGCAGGCAGAATTGCTTTGACGCAGGAAGGCAGAAGCCTGGCAGATCACACCACTTCACTCCCAGCTCCACAGAATGAGTACTGTTCATAAGAAAAGTGGCAGCCTAAGTTACTCAAAGTACAGGCAGGGCATGGTAATTCCAGCAGTTTGGAAGCCCAAGGTGGGAGGATTGCGGTGCCTCCCCTCCGGGAGGCGCCCTCGAGGCAGGAGAATTACTTGATCTTGGGAAGGTGAAGGCTGGCAGTGAGCCATGATCACCACCCACTGGCATTCGCACGCAATGGGGTGATAGTCCTTGATTATGTGGTGTCCACATAATTCTTCCCGGCCCAGAGCCTCCATAAATACGATTTGCAAAAAAAAACTTGAAAAAAAGCGTTCAAAGTTTCCACTTTAATTCCGTTATTTTGTATTTTCATCTGGATTTTCTTTTTTTCTTTTCAGAAACTAAGTTTTCATTATGATTGAACAGCACAGAAAGAACTTCAGAATAGGGTTAACATTGGGTTTTTCACTATGCAGACAGAATGAAAAACTTATTAAAGTGAACCTTTTAATAAATAGAAAATAGGAGGAAAAAGGAAAGCAACTGCAGGGCAGCAGCCAAGGGTGAAGTAAAACAAATTTGACCCACTGTCCTCTTTGGTTCCAACATCTGGCATGGGTTTGGTCATAAGTAGAACGAGTAGTAGGCCTTGAGGTCTGAAAACATTCTGCCACCCTTGCAGCTTGCAAGTCTGCCAAACATGGAAAGAACAACTTTTAGAGGGGGGAAAAGTTGCGAGAAAACACATATAATCTGAATTTTTAAAACCGATTTCTACCACCACATATAGGATAAGCTTGGAAGGACACCAGAAAAATCAACAGGAGTTACAGGGAAAAGGAACCATGCCATGGAAAAGCAGGGACTTGAGACTTGTATCTGTGTGTGGCTCCGTGTGTGTGTTGTGTGTGTGATTTCTCACAATGAGTCAATGTTTATGAGACTTGTAATCAAACAAATAATTAGAAGGAACGGTAATTTTCTACTACCCCAGTTAGGCCTATAACTGTACATAACTATTGTTCTCATGGGATAAATATTCTTTGTGTAGCAGAGTTTCTGTTGAGTTTTTGGTCCCCTTACCATTAAAAATGTCCATTAGGTTGTATAATTTTTTATTAGAAAACATATTCAAGATTTAAACTGCCAGAGAAAAACATGAAGGTCAGCAGCTGGACTATTGAGAGAAATGGAGTCAAAAAGTGAGTTATATAATTCCCATCCATTTTTAAATTGTTTAGCCCGTCTAAGGCGTCGATTCAACTAATATATTCCAAATAGCATTTCATGTGGGATGCCCATAGGTGTCAAAGAAAATGGCTGTTTTCGCAATTCACCTTCCACTGTCTCCTGCCCTTTTATAAGGTGTTAAAGGAACTATAACGAGAATTGAACAATTGTGAAGGTCCTTTGCTAAATGAACCCATTTGGCTAAAAGGATTCTGGTCTAGAATCACCCCTGTTTTTAAGTTAGTAATTTTTGGGCTTGAATAGAATCTAAGCCTTTATTCTCTTTTTAAAATGGAAAAAAAAAATAAGCCCCAGGCTACAGTGGCAGCTGCGCGTAGTCCCTCAAGCTGCTGTGGAA